GAAATAGTTCTGCAATAACTTACAGCTTCAGCAAATGAAGTAGACATGGCTTGACTAAGTTACAAAAATGCAAGTAATTGGCAAAAAAAGATCAAAAAAGCAAAGCAAAGCAGCCTTAATGTGGAGGGTGCAGTGACATTCAGCTTTGGGGCTGCCTGATAACATTAATACTGATAAAGAACAAAAGCCTGACAAGTGTAATCCTGATACTTTCCTTTGTGTGATTCCTTTGAGGATTACTCAGCAATTAAAGATTTCTAACAGTCTTACATTTCAAAAGGACAATGTTCCAATCCCCTAAGGAAATCATCACAAGCCATTTACAGATTCTTCTTGGGTTTCAACTTTTTAGAGAGAAAAAAGCTGTGGACATTTAGCTGTCTTAATTGGATGAACAGCTTAACATCTGAAAACATTTTAAATATCTGTTATTTCTAGAATGTTAAGCATGATTTCCTCTCCAGCAGGACCAGTGTGAGCTGCACTGGCAGCTGAGGGCTCCTTTTCTGCCATTTATCACTCTGCTGCCCTGTGCTACAAGAAAGTGTCAGTGAACAAAGGCCTTTCTGCACTGATTTTGCTACTTCATTAACCAAAAGTGGTTGGGTGTAGTTCTACTAAATAAAAGGGACATTCTGGTTATTAAAGAGAGACAGAAAGTATCTTGATTTAATCAAAACATCACTGCAACTTCCCCCTTCAGTAGGTATTTTTGAAAGCTGACTGGTTTCTGGTCAGACACTGCAGACAGGGAGGTGGTTACCAATAAGCCCAGCTCTACACCACCCAAGAGCCCAGCTTGGAAAACCCTGTGAGTTAACAGCTCTTGCTGAGGCCCCTGAGAAGTGCCTGGCATTCAGTCACCCCACCAACACCACAGCCATTCCCCAGAACTCAATCTAGACAAAGTGCTGACTTGCACAAAAAGCTCATTGCACAGAAGGTTCCATCACCTGCAGGTATTTGAAAGCTGAGGTGTACAAATAACTTTAATTCAGCAGGAGATTATTATGGCTCTGTTGGGTTTGCTTCCTTCTCCTCACCCACAACTGTCCTTCCAACAACGCTAAGAGCAAAACAACACCTGCCTCAACAGAGGCTTGGAGTTGTGACCCTGTGTTGTGACAACCTACAAAGCACTGAATAACTGCCCAGCAGTGCCAGGGGCAACACTGAATGTCAGAGCCTGGGCCTGTTCACCTGCTATCAACAGGAATAAAAAAAATAAATGAACGAAAAGGAATCCTCCTTCTCAGACAACAAATGAGATCAAGAGAACAAGAGTAACAAATACAATTTCCAGCGGTTAACTGAGATCAGAAATAGAGCAGCAACATCAAGAAAAGAAAGGAGAGACTAAGAGAAGCACTTTAAACAAGTAACTTAGTGAAGAGAAGCCCTTTCACTTTATCAACACACACTGACCTCCTCTGGGGTCACCTGGGCATGGCAGAAGTGACACTAGAAGAGTGACCCTTCAGCTCCCAGAATGGTTTCATAAAATTCACATTTCCACATTTTTCCACAAGTGCCTCTGTAGCAACAACGCCACCAAATTAAAAGATTCCCTCCAAAAGTCTCATCATAGTCTCTAGAAAGCAGGACTTCTGTCAACTGCATTTAACCAGGGAGGGAATTGTTCAACAGATTCATCACTGTCATTTAAAAATTACTTGGAAGTTTTTCAATCAAGTTTTTGCTTGGCTGGACCAGACACAGTGACTGGAGTCAACCATGAACAGGGCCATTTGTTCAAAAAGGCTTCCAGGGAGTCAGGATCCTCTTCCCCTGCCATAACTGTTCTCATCCTCATCAGCTCTCCAAGGAACTACACAGGGAATGCAAACTTCGGTTTCTAGTTTTGTTCTTCTCCCCCTGAACCAACAGACCTCAGGAACAGATGCCATTGAGTCAGTACAAGGAACAAAACCAGTCGAGCCCCAGGTTTAGCCCTGGGAGTGCAGGCACAGGCTGCAAAAATTACCAGCTTGTCTGAAACCCTCCATCTCTCAGGGCTTTTCTGCCAAAAGAAACAGCAGAGCCTCGTCTCTTGTGCAAATGACACGTGGCATTTTAAACGTTCTGACATAAAGGCAGGAAACAAAAATACAAAACATATAAAATTGACTACAAGACTCTTGCATGTTGTCAGTGCCCACAATTATGGATGACATGGGAAGGTCTTGCAGGGGTTCAGGGAGGAACAAGCCACCAGTTGACCAAAGTACCAATTACCAACACCAACTGCTGATTTCATTCCCTGCAAGCACCTGGAACCCTCCAATTATGTTAATCTCAGGGGGAAAAAAAAAAACCAGCCCTGCAGCAGGCTTTTAAAGGTTTATAGCAGATTCTGCAGAAGGGGGTGAACAAATCTTTTTAAAATGAAAAATATCATTTTCCTAATGCCCTCTGCAAAGGATGGCTGCATTAATCCTGGCAGTCTCCACACGTCCTCCCCCATGTTTTCCAAAGGCAGCCAGAGCACTGAGACTCGTTCAGCAAATGGCACCATGAGTCAGTGGGGCTGGAGCTGTGGGTAGGAAGGAGATGACGCCGTCCACGGAGGCACAAAAGTCCTCAATATGATTCATGTCACAACATGGATCCAAACAGGTGACTTATGGTTTAGACACAAACTAAAAGGGTATTTCTGTGTCCATGCCGAGGGACTCGCCAGCAAACGTGGCACGTTCCAACAGCAAACACAGCCCAGTCCATCCACCAAATCCACCTCCTCCTTCCTCAGCAGATAAACACCTGGGCCAGTGTGGAACGTTACACCAAATCCAGCAGCAGTCCTTGTACAGGGAGGTAAAGTTCAGACCACATCATGGAATCACAGACTGCTTTGGGTTGAAAGAGACCTTAAAGATCATCTTGTTCCACCCCCCTGCCATGGGCAGGGACACCTTCCACTAGCCCAGGTTGCTGCAACCTGGCCTTGGACACTTCCAGGGATGGGGCAGCCACAGCTTCTCTGGGCAACCTGTGCCAAGGGCTCCCCCCCTCTGAGCACCATATGCTCCCACTGTCACTCAAAACTACTTTCAGAAAGTGGAACAGCTCTGTTTTTAACCTGGAGTTCTGCAAAACTCCAGGAGCTTGACAGTGAAGCTGCAGATCACCACAGGCGAAGGAAAAGCAGGGGAAGGAGCAGGAGAATGCCTGTATGTGTCAAACCTGACAAACCCCTGTTCCCACACTAAAAGGCCTCACACCAGCATGATTAGTCACAAAAGATCGCAGCTTTTGTTCCTGTCACACCGTGTCATTTTACCTTTAATGAGATATCCTCCCAAAAAAGAAAAATCAAATAAAATTTTTGAGTGTTCCTAGAATGTTCCAGAATGGACCTGCTCCTCCATTGACACGATTCCAAGCCAACCTAACCCCTCAGCCAGAGCAGCACTGAGCTTGGGAAGAGATCCTTAAATACTGTCCACATAGAACTCAACAAATATTGTGCAACCACTAGCCCAACCCACCTCTGTCTTCTTCTGGGACCATCACTAGAACTGCCTCATGTTCTCTCTACAGTCCCTTCCCAATGACAGGCAATTTATTTTAAGTTATTACACAGGTGAAAATGAGCTGTGAACACACAGTGAACAGGCACAGAAACTTCACTCTCCTCACAATAAAACTTTTTACTTGTCTCAAGATAAACAAGTCAGATATTAGGTCAGTTCCCAGTCTCTCAGTACCCCAGACCTTTGTCACAAACATTTTCTGATACAGGCACTGTTCTGGGACCCACCTGCCATCAGACAAGCAGGTGTCCCCTGCTGATGGTGTTTTCCTGCCACAGAGAGAGTCCTACATCACAGACACAGCCCATGAGCAGGGAAAGAGGGAAGGAGAACCTCTTACACCAGTGGGAAACACTCAACTGCTGGATGCTGCCACTTTCAAAACCATCTCCTTCTGCAATCAGCACAGTCCTGGATCAGCTCTCTGAAGTGAAACAGCCTTGGATTCCTCCTTCCCCTTCGTTTCTACAGAAAAGAATTTCTTCCCATAGAACTAATCCCAATTCTTGTGTTTTCTGGCTTCAGAGCTATGCTAATTCTGGCTATAAACAGATATACATTCAGTATTTAGTTTTCAGCTCAAAAGGCAAAAGAGGGCCTGAACAACAATCTCAGAACTTCAGAAACCTTCTAATTTTAAATATAACAATCAAACAAGCCACACATATTTGTGATGTCAGACTCCTATTTCTGTTGTTAACTAGGTCTGAGAAACAAAAAAATGAACATAGAGAAATCCAACGTGGATAAATACCACAATTTTGAAATCAACAGTTGCTTTAATAACGATAATAATTACACACTCCCTGAAAAACCTGACTAAGCTTTGAAGTCAGCTTTGCCAACTCTGAGGAGGGTGGATTAGACACTTCCAGGGGGCTCAGCCAGACTGAATCTTCCTGTGGCACTACATTTATCCAAACCCCATTTAGAGCACATTCCTGCAATTCTCCCTGACCTGTTCTCACAGGCTGCACACCTTTCACTGGGAAAGAAAATAACCCACAGCACAGAAGAGCCTTGGGCAGGGCCCTGGGGTCTATGGGGCTTGTAGGTTGTATGAGGCCTTTGAAGCCTATGGGGCATATGGGACATATGGTGCCTATAGAGCCTTTGAAGCCTGGACTGTGGGGCCTCTAGGGCTTGTGAGGCCTTTGGGGCCCATGTGGCTTATAGGGCCTAGGGGGCCTATGGGACATATAGGGTATATGTGGCCTATGGGGCCCATGTGGCCTACTGGTTTGGTTATGACCTTTTTTTGTTTCCTCTTTCTTTTCAGACCAAGTCCAATATCTCCATTCATTAATTACTGCACAAAGTTTCCGGGTAGAAGGGATCTTCCACGTTTTGAACTTGTGCAAGCCCTTAACAAGATGAACAACTGATCGGAGCACGACTGTGTTTGTTCAGCGTGGAGCCAATCCCAATTTCTCAGCTGAGCAGTTCGGTTGTGACCCTCCCTCTTACCACTCCAATCAAGTCCCCTCGGCCGTATTCCCCAGTCAGGTGCTTTTTCCCATCTTCCATCCGGATGACGGAGCGAAGGCGCCCGTTCAACACGATGTACGTGCAGTCAGACTTGTCCCCCTGCCTGCAGAAAGGATCAATAACCAGGATTAGCGAAGCATCTCCGCTCAGCAAATGCATCTGGAGCCTTTGAATAGGTTTGATTTTCCCTCCCTGGCTTAGAGGGCACAGGAAAGGGTTTAACTGAGACTTAAAACTTAACAAGCAAACAAGAAACGGAACAGGCGCCTGTTAAAAGGTGACCTGGAAATATGTTTAATGTTTAAATGTGCAGGCTGTGCACAACTGCTTGAGGACAAGCCAGAGGAGAATGGCTTTAAACTCAAACAGAGTAATTTAGATTGGATATTAGGAAGAAATTCTTCCCTGTGAGGGTGGGGAGGCCCTGGCACAGGTTGCCCAGAGAAGCTGTGGCTGCCCCATCCCTGGAAGTGTCCAAGGCCAGGTTGGACGGGGCTTGGAGCAACCTGGGCTGGTGGAAGGTGTCAGGGGGGTTGGATCCGGATAATCCTTAAGGTCCCTTCCACCCCAAACCATTCTGTGCATCCATACTAGGTCTGGATGTGGATGACCAGGATGCACAGGGCCCCCAGGGGAGACAACATTGCTGGGTACACAGGAGCTTGTTCCCACTGCAAGGGCAATGTGGATGTGCAGAGAAATTGTGCAGGTCAAAGAGCAAACTCCCAAGTGGCTCCAGATTTGGGTTCCTTTTGGTGCACACACCTCAGCCTAGCAGGAAGCTTTTGCTATATTTAGTTGGCATGATTAGGAGTTGTGTCTGGAATGCTGATTCTTCTGGTGGTGGAGTTAAAATTAATGAAGGAATTCCGAAAGGTTTTAACAAGATATTGACAGCTATGAATGCTCTGATGCACAGAGTAATCCAAAACTTCCATTAGTTTTGCTGCTACAGGTATAACAATAACAACTACAGTTACAATTACACAGATCAAGGACTAAATTGGACCCTTATTCTCCCACCACTGCAGCAACCATGTAACAGCTCAATTGCATCCTGGTATAGATCGTTAAAACTACGTTTTCCCAAGGTAACTTTTGCTCCTTAAACACAAATTTCCTGTTTTCAATTTACTACAGAATAAGCCTAACTGAATTACCTTTGAGTTTTGCTGTTTATTTTAGAAAGGTTGAAAAACTCCTTGTGCAATAGATGTTCATGCTCTTAACAATGCAGAAACCACCACCAGAACATACAACTGTCTGTGTCTTAGTCAATTATGTCACTTTAAAAGCTTGCCACAACAACAGAAAGGAGGAGGAATAGTATGAAATAATTTAGTAACACCTGGAGACAAGAGACTGAAGCAATGCTGAAGGTACTGCAGAAAGAAAATTATCTTAAAATAGGCAGATAAAACCTGATGGAATGGTTGATAAATATAGTGCAATGGGTTTCTCATTCTACACATCACCAAGGGAGCACAGCTCATTAACCAGGAAAACTTCAAACACACAATTTAGTCCCCATCTCACCTGTAAACAGCTCGTCCAGCCTCCACCTCCATCCAGTCCAGGGCAAAGTCAATTTGCCTGACAAAGGGGGACATTCTTTTCACAACAGTGTGGGCCACCCCAAGGACCACACTGGGCTGCTCCCGCATGATCCTGGAGGGAAAAGGAAAGGGTTATTCCAGTGCTTCCAAAACAGGAACAGGTGCACACAGGTAACAACACCCCAGTGCAGCAGAAATTCCAAAAGTAGTATGTACCCATAGGCACACTCACTGCTGCCATCACAGCAGGGATTCTTTGACAAAGGATGGGCTGGCCAGCCTGCCAAGCCACTCCAAACTAAATGTCTCTCAGAGCTGGCAAGATGCTGGCCAGTCCTGCTGGCCGGCCCAATTCCCTTTTCCAAGGGCAGTGGGATGGATGGAGCCATGTGAGCTCTTGTCTATGAGCCACCCTCCTCACCTCCCCATCACCCAGGTCTCTCATGGCTCAGGGAAATGTTCATACTCTCCCCAAGATGATCCATCCCTGCCCTTCTGCACCTCTCAGTCTCTCACATGTGCTCACAGCTTCCCCCCAACATCAGATCAGAATCTCTTTATATGTCAAGTCTGATGCTCTTAAAAATAAAAGACCTGCTCTGAATTTCAAATGTTCCCTTTTCCCCTGTTGCAAAGACCACAAAGAACTGAAACACCTTCTAATAAAGCTCCTGATCTTCACACTGAACCTTCTGAGTCATGCTTAAAAGTCTCTAGTAATAAAGATATCATGTAATTCAATACTTTCCTCAAACTGAAAAACTTTGAGAAGGTTCTGCCAGGATAAGTGCAAACTCCACACTGATTGTGAGGCCCAGGGGAAATCACTCTCACAGACACCTGGGAACTGCTCAGGAATGTCTTATTTCTTGTTCTTTTTGGACTAAAGATCACTGCATCCTGTCACTGTGTAAGAGAGCACTGCAATTCTTCCTGAATCATTCCACAGGACCACACACAGGTCAGGGTGTTCTACCTGTTTAGGGCAACTTATCTTTCCTGTTCCTGCACAGCATCAAGAGCAGCTGATGACAGATCACTAAAAAACAGCTATTCCACAAGAGATAGGGTGATTCACAGAGAAGGAGGTGTGTGTCTGCACCAATTGCACACAGAGAGATGAGGGAGCTCTGAGAAACCCCTCATGGACAGAAACAAAGAGGAAAAAATGATAAATCACAGAGTGGCCTGGCTTGGAAGGGCCAAGGGCCAAAGATCATCTCACTCCACCCCTGCCATGGGCAGGGACACCTTCCACTAGCCCAGGTTGCTCCAAGCCCCGTCCAACCTGGCCTTGGACACTTCCAGGGATCCAGGGGCAGCCACAGCTTCTCTGGGTAACCTGTGCCAGGGCCTCCCCACCCTCACAGGGAAGAATTTCTTCCCAACATCCCATCTAATCCTGCCCTCTGGCAGCGGGAAGACATTCCCCCTTAGCCTCTCCCTCCAGGCCACTGCAAATAGACTCTCTCCATCTTTCCTGTTGGCTCCTGCAGGCACTGGAAAGCCACAGTTAGGTCACCCCGAAGCTTCTCTTCTCCAAGCTGATCACCCCCAGCTCTCCCAGCCTTTCCTCCATCCCTGTGATCATCTTGGTGCCTCCCCTGGACTCTCTCCAGCAGCTCCATGTCCTTGCTGTGCTGTTCCCCAGGGCTGGAGCAGCTCTGCAGGGGGGTCTCACCTGAGGGGGCAGAGGGGCAGAATCCCCCCTGCCTTGCTGCCCACGCTGGGGGATCAGCCCAGGGCACGGGGGGTTTCTGGGCTGGGCGATGTCCAGCCTCTCCCCCACCAGCACCCCCAGGGCCTTCTCCCAGGGCTGCTCCATCTGTTCATCTCCAGCCTGGAGATTGATCCAGGGGCTGCCCCGACCCAGGGGCAGCACCAGCACCTGGCCCTGTTGAACCTCATGAGGTTACTGGGTAAGTTTTCTGCATCAGTGCTCCTTTCCCAAGGAAGATGCCAGACTGCCATAAGAAAATCTGCTGAGCAGACCCTGTTATGAGGGAGCTCTCACTGAGCACGAGTCATGCCAGCTTTGTATCTAACCTCACACCCTAAAAACACAGGAGGGGAGAAATGCATGGAAGGAGCACTGTCAGTCTTTGCTCCCTGACTGGATTGCAGTTCCTTGTGGACCACTGGAACCCGGCAGGATCAGAGCAGGTCCGAGCAGAGCTGCCTAAACCAAGACTGTGATAGCAAAAGCAGACTCAGCAGGAGCTCTGCCTGCCGGGGTGTGGCACAGAGACTGCCCTGTATTTTCTAAAACATCAGGTGTCTCCTTCATTAGTCCCATTGCTGCAGCTGGCAGGGGCTGTGGGTCAGTGCAGCACACAGGGAGCTTTCATGGATACCTGCTCTCCTCCCCCGGGCCTCCAATTACTGCTTTTCACAGTAATGAAGCTTGTAATTTCTTCAGCCAAAATCCCTGAAACTGAGAGGCAGAGATCCTTAGCACAGATCCCTGTTCCAGATTGAGCTCATCACACTCACATGTGCTACGAGGTAAATTAAACTGAACACCACCTCTTACATTTGGCACTCCTGAAAATCCAGCCAGCAAACAGCATGACCCAAAAGTAGGACAGCTTTTCTCTCCTGACCCTCTTCTCTTGCCCTGATTTTTCCATGCCTTCCAACCATCTCCTGCCCAAGATACCTACAGACACATGGAAAACACTCAGCCCTATCCCCCCTTTTCAGCTGGTTCAAAAGTTAAATAAAGCCCCTAAAAACTCCAGAATGGTTTAGCTCATTGGTTTTACTCCACTTGCTTATTTAGCCCTCAGTCTCCTCCCACACAGGCTGTCTGCTGTCGTCAATAAAAGCCATTTACTCTTTCCCTCCCCCAGGATATGTATCTTAATACTTAATGCATTCAAGATGTAAACTACTAACAGGCTGCTTTTATTTCCACATGGAGCTCTCTGTTACCTCCCTCAGTTCTCTACCAGAGAATTAGGACAGAAGGTAAAACCCACCCATATGCAAGAGAAGAGGAAAGCAGATTTTTTCCCTCATTATCAGCCAGGTTTTTTTCCTCTCACGTGGGCATTTGTGCTCTTCTGCTTGGCACATGCCTGGCACTGAGAAAATTAAAATCCAAAGCTCTGTACTACAGCAAGTTGTTTCTGAAGGGACCCTGAGGATTCTTTATTAGAGAGCTCACCAAACACAGCAATGAAAGGGCTAAACCAGTTTCTGGGGAAGCCTGGGACTTACACAGATATAACTGTGGATGTGGCTGCAAACTGATATTCAGCTTGGCTGGCAAGACCAAATAAAAATCAAAGCACTCCTGCTTCTCTGGCAAGTGCTCATGATTAGGCCTCCAACTCATGACATGTACTGAGGCAGAGGGTGGGAGAGAGCCCCTGGTCCTGCAGAACCTGCCCCTGCAGACAACGTGGTTGCCCCCCCAGCCCCAGCGTGGGCACTGCCCAGAGAGCAGCAGTTCAGCCCAGCACTGCAGGGACGTGCTGTGCCATTAGCCTGTGTCACCCTGGATACACCAAATCATCAGCCTGTGCCACCCCACACTTACACCCTGCAGTACAGGCAGTTATTGAGTCGTGGCAGCACCACGGAAAAGTGCCCCCGAGTTCCAGTGGAAAGGATTTAATCTGTTGTCCAACATCCACCCTGCAATTCTACACCCCGGGCTCCTTCCATTACTGAGCTCTTTGCCTAATGGCAACTATTGACCATGTGCTTTCTGCTTCACCCTGTCATTAATTATTGAGAAAAAACACCAAGTGTTCCAGCACAGCGAGAAAGGAAAAACGGAATTTTGGGGAATAATGGAGATTCTTGTCAAACTTCTTCTAATCTGTAACTTAAGATAAATATAAACAAATTTAAAAAAAAATAACTCCTGTGAGATTCCAAGCAAAGGAGAAAGCCAAACATTGTGGGGCTATGAGCACAGAATTTGGCATAAAAATGGAAAATAAAACTTCTATCTAGTTTTATCAACAAGTGTTTCTTTCTCAGAGAGTTCAAAGCAAAAATGAACCAACCTGATGCTTTTCAAAGCCTTTCTCCAATGACACTTAAATATGGGCACAGGAGTTAGAAGTGCCATAAAGTCTGAGGTTCAGGACAAATTGTGAAGATGAAACACTGGAATATCAAAAAGAGCTTGTGAAATGCAGAGAACAGGCAACAGACTCTAAAGGAGGAAAAAAAAGATTTGGAAAGGTCCCAAAAATGATGAAGAGGTAATACACTGATGGGTTCTTAAGCACTGACTGGTAAGGGGTTAATCGAAGCAAAAAGATGGAATAAACAAGAGATAACTCAGTTCTTCAGAGAGAAGAGAAAGCTCAGGAAAATGAGCTTCAGCAACTGAGAGAAATAACCCAGCCCTGAACATCAAAACAAACAAAAGAAACAGAGGAGGAAAAGGTGGAATCTGCCTGCTTGGCTGAGACAACATAATGAAATTTCAAGTCAGGAACAAGTAGGAAAACAACAGTAGCAAAAGACAGCCAGAAAAACCAGGCATTTAGAAGAATAGGCTGATATTGCATGGAATGGCACAAGTGGGAAGCATCCATCAGAAATTAGGCCACAGAGTAGACATCCACCCCACAGACTGGGAAAAACACAGCTCCAAGCACATGCTGAGCACAGCACGTTCATTCCACAGCATAACAGCCTCTTGCCTGAGGTGGGAAAACCAAAATCCCACAGTAAGATTCTGGGGTAGAGTTGATTAGGAATACAAACAAGCAGAATTATTTAAGAAGCAAGAACTATGTAGGAATATACAACGTAACAGTGGCCTAGAAAAGACAACGACCCCAAAAAGTCCTACATAGGACTGATGGCACATTCCAGCAGAAGCTGAAAAAGAAGTTTAGAAAAGGAAATAGAGGTATTTGAGACAAATTGTGTGTGTGAAATAATAGTAACTCTAAACAACAGGAATGTGGAATAAATCAAGGGCTTTAATCATTATTATTGGCAACAAGGCTAACCACAGTCATCATATTGAGTTTTTAATTAAGAAATACCTATACCTCCCTTTAAGCATTAAGTCCCAAGTCATGTGCTACTTCCAAGGTCCAGGAAGGAACCTGTCTTGCACTGGGGTATTACTGTTTGACCTATTCTATTAGTGAGCATTGAAAACCCACAATTATACCCAGACCAACCACTCATAACACACCCAACAGCCTGGGCTGTGTTAGGGAATAGAACTGGGGAAGTTTTCCAGCAAAAAGAACTAATGAATCCAAGAGAAAAGGCCTGACAAAGCAGCACTTAACCCAGCAAAGCCCAGGCTCTGGCCAGACTCTCTTATTTGGGTTATGAAGTATGTGAATTTTGGGTCATAATTCCCACCCCAATGAGTTAAGTGCTCTAGAGACCTTGAACAAAGGAGATGTCACCATTTAATATTCCCATGTTCTCTTCTTGCTGGAGATAAAGCCACCTGACAGATGGATAAATCCCTCCTGTAAGCTTTGGGATTGCTGTGGGATGTACTTTAGCAGCACTACCTCACACAGACACCCACCACTCATGTTCAGAATCATGGAATCATCAAGGTTGGAAAAGACCTCCAGGATCATCCAGTCCAACATTTGACTGAATACCTCCACGCCCAGTAAACCATACCACAAAGTGCCACATCTATTCATTTTTTGAACACTTCCAGGGATGGGGACTCCCCCCCTGCCCTGGGCAGCCCATGCCAGTGCCCGACCACCCTTTCAGTGAAGAAACTTTCCCTAATATCCAACCTAAACCTCCCCTGGCCATTTCCTCTCCCCCTGTCCCTTGTTCCCTGGGAGCAGAGCCCGACCCCCCCCAGCTCCCCCTTCCTGTCAGGGGGTTGCAGAGCCAGGAGCTCCCCCCTGAGCCTCCTTTGCTCCAGGCTGAGCCCCCCCAGCTCCCTCAGCTGCTCCTGCTGCTCCAGCCCCTTCCCCAGCCCCGTTCCCTTCCCTGGACATGCTCCAGCCCCTCAATGTCATGAGGGGTCCAGAACTGCCCCCAGGACTTGAGGAGTGGCCTCACCAGTGCTCAGCACAGGGGGACAGTCACTGCCCTGCTCCTTCATTCAAAAGGGCCATAAAAAATTTAAAAAGTACTTTAAAAAAAAAAAATCAATACGTGTTTTAATGGCAGAACTCACTCATAGAAATGGGACTTGGAAATGGACAGGAAGCTGCAGTCTCTGTTGGCCTTGATGGTGAAGATCAGTGGCTCCCCAGTGAGCACGGCGAGCTGGCCCACGAGCTCCCCGGGGTGGGTTATGAACAGACAAGTGTCCTCCTCAGAGTCAATCTTCCTCTGGTACACATGAAGCATCCCCGAGACCACAAAGCAAACATTAACATCCTGCAGCAAGTGGAAAAAAAAGAGTTCAATAAAATCCCCACAAGATTTTAAAAGCAATTATCACACTGACAGCGCTATCACGACCGATCTGTTTTTCAGAAAGCTCCCTATGGTTTTTTGAACAATTAGGTGATAAAATAAGACACAATAGTGAATTATTAAAAGCTGGTTATGAATATTTAAAACTAAGCAGCCACAATATTGAAAAATGTGTTTCTCTTTGTGTGGTTATGAAAAATGAAGGCTGCATCTGCAAGATCTCAAGGAATAAGGACAGAATTGGGAGTGGAGGAGATAATGGGGAGTCACAGCAGCAGGATGAGGGGCATCAGGGGTCAGCAGAGCAGAACCCAGCAGTGCTGGAATTGGAGCTGCCTCTCATCTGCTTTGCATAAACTTATTTATTTACACAGTATTATCATAAATAAAGTTCATTATATCCTAAATACTTTGCTATAAACAAGCAACACAACTGATGTTGGGGGGGAGTGGGGGGAGAAATACTTCACTGCAACTGAGTGACATCCCCAAAAGCCCTCAGTGCAGGGCATGAAAAAAGGCTTCCCAGACTTCACAGCTCCTGGGGAAGGACTGAGGTGGGATATTCCACCCCTTGTCATGAGGTACATCAGAGCTGACAACACACAGACACCAGACTCCCACTCTGGCTCTGTGGGAGGGCTGAGAGCCGGGGCTGTTCCACCTCGAGAAGTGACACCTTGGGAGGGGTCAGGTGGGATTTTTTTCTCCATCATCAATGTGTATAAATACTTCACAGAGGAGGGCAGGAACTGAGGCAGGTGCAGGTTCAGGTGGTGCTGACTCACCTGGTCCCCCTGCCTCGACAGCACGGTGCCAGCAGTGACCTGGTGCAGCGTCACTTTGCCGTTCAGCAACGCAGGATTCTGGGGAAAAAGGGGGTGGGAGGCACAATTTACTGCTCTGTGCACAGGGAAAGATCCCAGAATGTGAGGAAGCATACAGATAAAGCAAATAAGAGTAACTACTGAAGTTACTAAAGACAACGTTATAAGCGTTTGAATCTCTTCAAAATATGGCAAATATTTTTGTATTTCTCTACCCAACAGATGTTTCTTCCAGAAGATCTCCACACAGTGATAGGGCTGCTGATGGAAAAAGCCCCAGAGAGACTAGAAAATCAGAAAAAAAGACAGAGAAGCCTAAAAGTGAAGAACAGGCTCATGAAAAAGATAAGGAGAGGAAGAAAAGCAAATAGAAGCATAGAGAACGAGCAAGAAGGTTTGATCCATTTCGATTGATCACATTTGGATTCTTAAGGACTTTCTATTTGTCAGTTTTTCCCTCTGACTCTTTTAATGATCTACAATGAAGAGATCTGTATCAACTGGCATGAAAATCATGAACTATGAAGTTACTTTCAAAGGAAGGTGAAACTAGAGGAGACTTTGTAAATCATCGAGGAACGGAACAAGAAGATGCAACTCCTGCTTTATCCCAGCCCTTCCCTGAACACACAGCTCAGCTGAGCTGTACATGTGGAGCAGATTTTCACACACACTGTGGAACAAAAGCTTCCTCAAGGTCATGAATTCTTGTGTCCAGGCACATCTGGGTTGCAGAGAAGAGCTGGAATTTCCCTCCCAGCTGAAGAGGACATGGGAAGGAGAGTCATTCCAAAGGCCACCCTCAGTTTGGACTCAACCCCAGCCCCTTGGAATGGCAAGGAGCTGAGCTGGCCGAGTGCAGCACCAGATCCAAAGATTCCCTTCCCACTCCAAAGCCAGTCACCAACATAACTGGCACCTGAGTGCATAAGTAACTCCCAGTTAACCCAGGTTTTGGGAAGGTGAATTTCTTTATCAGAATCCCAAGCTGGTTTGGATTGGAAGGGACCTTAAAGCTCATCTCCTTCTACCCCCTGCCATGGGCAGGGACACCTTCCACTAGCCCAGGTTGCTCCCAGCCCCAAATCCAACCTGGTCTTGGACACTTCCAGGGATGGGGCAGCCACAGCTTCTCTGGGCACCCTGTGCCAGGGCCTCAACATGCTTAATAAAGAATTTCTTCCTAATATCTGACCTAACCCTGCCCTCCTTCAGCTTAAGGCCATTTCCCCTTGTCCTATCACTCCGTGCCCTTGTCCAAAGTCCCTCTCCAGCCTTCTTACAAACCTTTTAGAAGTTCAGCATTTTACCATCACCACCTGAATGGGCTGGGGCAGAAAACAAGGCTCAGTTATGGATTCTTGTGTTCTGCTGAAGCCTGACAGTGCAGTCCTGGCTCTCACAGTTTCTCTGTGTATTCACCTGTGCACAGGGCTTTGCCACACAGGCAGAAGCACTAAAAGCAAGAACTGCACTCACAGGAAGAACCAATTCAGCACAAGAGCAGAATCTGCCCACAGTCATTAACCTCATTGCAGCAGGAAACCAACAGAGCAGAGATGTAAACACTCCACACTCGTAATTGTTCTGCCAGGTTTGAATTTTGGGGTTGAAAAAAAATAGAGCAAGTGAAATAATCACAATTATTCTTTACACCTACTGTTGATAAAAAGAACATATTTTCATCAGAAAATAGTTTTATTGAAGCCCATCTGTTTCATGGGAACATACCCAATGCAGAGAACCTGACAAGCACCTGTCAAAATATTTCAGTTCAGCAACAGCAACTCAACTAATTTCTATGATTTTTTTCCTCTATTTATCTATTTATGGTTGCATAGTATTACCTAAAGACAAAGTTGTGACTCTGAAAGCACCCCTCAGTAAGGGAATACAAGCTCCCTCATGAGCTCTACTTACCAACAGGATTTTGGGGCTGCACTGGGTCTAACAAAAATCATTGCAAAGATTTTCTTCATGTCTAAGACTACTTAAGTATTGGAATAGATTGCACACTGAGCTGTGAAGCCTCATCACTGGAGATCTTTAAGTACAGCTGAGCCAAAAACCTGCCAGAAATGACTTAGCAATATTTGATTCTGCCTCGGGCAAGAGAAGAGCCTCACTGACCTCCAAGCAGACCTTGATATCTTCCTTTTCCCTGCTATTACCACCCCATTAAGCAATAAAAGAGCTGACAAACAAGATCCAGCCTGTCCAGCACCTTCTCTCTTGAACGGGTGAGCCCAGCAAGCCCAGATTCAGCATTGCACAGTTGCAGGGTTTCTGGAAGTAACTCTGCACTGACCCCCTCCAGCCACCAGCTTTTAGGAAAACAAGTCATTACCACAACAAACTCCATTTCCCAGCACGTTTCTTCCTTTGCATTACTGTAACAAATGGTTGCAGCAGGAAACTGGACAAATCAGGGTACAGTATAAATTCCAGTAACAAATATAACAAGTAGCAGAGGTTATTTCTGGATAACAAACTAGGAGGGTTTATGACACAGAAGTGAAAATACAAACCACTTATAAACAATAAGCAAACCCAGTAATTAACTGGGGCAAATAACTCGTTTGTCAAAGGAAATTCCCTTATAACTCACACAGAAGAGATGCCCTGCAACACTGCTTAATGTCATATCATAACTGCAGACAAAGCTGAAACCATGTAAAAACTGTATGAGATTAAAAACCACTTATGACAGATCCAAGGAATTCAAGTTATTTAAAACAAAAGAGAAAAAAAAAGAAAATTTTAATTCTGAAGTCAGATACCTAAAGGTCATTTGAAACAACAATGCCTCTCTCCTACAGTCAGTTATTCCCTCCTTTCTCAAAGTATCATGAAAATAACCCAACACCCAAACAACCAAAATACCCCCAAACCTACCACCACCTGCCATCAAAACATCTTTATTTGATTCACTCTGGTTGGCTGCTCTATAAAATGACAATTAAAATGCTTCCAGCCAGCTAAGAAATAAAAGATCTCATTTTTTACCAGACCAGCTTACAGAATTAATTTTCTTCTTTTATGTAAGCAGTGTTGAACACAAATACTTTGCACACAGCAAGATTTTTCTTCCACTGCCTGTAAAAGAACTTTTACTATCGTGTCTGGAGAAAAAAATTAAACTTTCAATGAGATCTCTGGTATTTGGCTACATCCCATCAGATTCCAATTTGCTTGTGAAGAACTGTAAATTGCTATAATCCCCAAGTTTGAAAATCCTACTTTGTTTCATTGCTATTGAGATCTTCATGTTACAAACGCTGCCTATTAGGTGCTGCATTTCAAGGATACTGTTGCAATTAACTTTATCTCTCAGCTGCTGCTTGTTAATTACTGAGAAATTTATTCTAGACTTAAAAAAAAAAACCAAAAGTGCTGTAATCATTTCAATGATCTTGGGATTTCTGCTCATTAATGATAGTTCTATCAAGAACAGGAAGCTGAGCAGAACAGATGAGGGGACCTGGTCCTGGTTCACTCCATCTGTAACAAGAATTCCTTCTAAAATAGTCTGTAGTGTTTCATGGGGATATAAATGCCTGAAAAACCCCTGGAAATTACCATAAGACAGGTAAGTGTCCTGCAGACAGACCTTAGATCAGTGAGGATGGGGAGCCTCGAGTGTCCCAGCTGGGAGCTGAGGCCGTGACAGGGATTCTGAAATCACAAGGGTAATAACTTGGAAATCAGGAGGGAATGTTAAAATCCAAAAGTAAAACCTTTTTTGAGTTCTACCAAGTGTAGTTTGATGACAGCTCTGGCAGCAGAGGAGGAGGTGCAGCAGCTGTGCCCAGCCCCTGGCAGCACCAGCAGAGTGGAGTTACTGCAGTACAGGCTGGAACAAGCCAGGGATGTCTGTGACTGACTGAGACAGATGCATAATTTTCCCAAATTGTCTGATTAGCTGCATGAACAGCCACAGCTCCATAATGGAATGCAGCTGGAATCACAGGAATGATGGAAACAATCATTTTCATCCCTTCTTCCAACATGAAGGGGCTCGGCAGGGGCTGAGCTCGAGGGTGACTGGGAGGTCACCAGGCACAGGACCCAGCTGGGAAATGCTCCCAGTGCCACTGCCAAGTACAGAGGCTCAACTCCAAAACCCAAACAAGCACTTGGATGCTGTGCCAAGAGCGTTAATGGATTCAGCAATCACCTGAATGCCTTTACATAACTTCTTCACACACTGTGTGAGAGCACAGAATTAGAAGGTGGCAGAAACTGCACATTTGCTGCTCACAGGGCTAAATCTGCACACAGTGAGAGAAGATTCATGCACTGCATTCCAGCGTGGTCTGTTCAAGTGGCAGAATAATTCAAATTTACTTCAGCCCTTCTAATAACTTCAACAACTATTGAATAAAACATTGGGCTCAACTACAGTACCAGGGAGACGATTTGCTTTTTAGTTCCTGGCAGAGTGAGATGAAATGCAAAAACAAAGCCAGTTCTCCCTGCAATAACTCACATCAAGTTTCATCAGGGTTGAGAGGTCCTTCTTTGCTGCTTCAACGATGGCATCAATATGTTTGGTGTTACAGGAGTCCTGCACTGCACTGTAATGGAAAACTGCTGAAGGAGTCTCTGTCACCGTCACAGTCTTCTTCAATATGGACTGCAAAGAGCAGAAACACAACAAGGATCATTTAAACATTATAACTGGCACTTACCCAGCCAAAATGTGCCATATCATGTGTTCTCTCTACCCACCACAACTGGTGGTCTGCATAGGAGAAATCTAGGTTTCCGAAAAAGCAACAGCTTGCTAACTTCATTATCCCTGTATTTTTTTCTGACACTCGAGTCAAACAAAGTTACTCATCACAGCTTGTGAAAGGGAAAAATAAGAGACTTTTCAGAAACTGGGCAGCTTGATGGAACTAAAACTTAACCAACACAAAGATGGAGGAAACGAAAAAATGTCTGTCAAGGTCACAGTGAGCAACAATTTCACTTGAAAGTTTAGTCTGCAGTTTCATAATTCAAGAACATTTTTGTGCTCTTGACTTCCAGGCCAGTATTCATAAAAATCAGACCACAAAAAGGAAAACAGATTTATAAACAGTGACTGGAGACCTCCAGGAAGCTCACAGGCTGATACAAGTTTTTAATTCCTTGCTGCAAAGTACCAATCACAAAAAAAGCATGGTCTGACAAATCCACCTTTCCAAATGATTCATTTCATGAGTGAGGGGAAGGCAATACCTAAAAATCAAGAAGTTGCAGGGGTGCTTTCAGACTGCTCACCAAGGGAATCTCCAGAGTTTCAAGATCTGCACTAAAAAGCTTTAACAGTCACCAAAATCTACTGAAACAACTGCAAGTTAAAAAATAATAAGACAAAAAAACCATTCAAGGCCAGGTTGGATGGGGTTTGGAGCAACCTGTTCTAGTGGAAGGTGTCCCTGCCCATGGCAGGGGGTGGCACTGGGTGAGTTTTAAGGTCCCTTCCAACCCAAGCCAGTCTGACTCTGTAAGACCAAATATCCCAACTCCTACAGAGGTGCAAGGGCAGCGTTTCAAAGGCAGAAAACACTGGAATCACTCCAAGAATAATGATGTACAAGGCAAGGAACAGGGTGGACTCCCAGAGGATCAGACAGACCCACCTTGGCCGTGCCAGGGCTGCCAGCAGTGTCCTCTGGGCTCAGGTGCACCCGGGCCCTCTCGTAGGCCATGTCCATGTCAGACTTGGCACCGCTGGAATTATCTGAAAACAACGGGAAAATCTTGGTTTAAGCACCTGCTTTATTTCAGTTTCTCAGAAATAGCTGAAAACACACAAAGAGGAGCAACTTTAGCAAGAGGTGTCTTCATGTTCTTATTGATTCCCTCGTTCCTTTTGACCTGGAAGATCTGGTGGGAATTTTGTCTCTTGTCATCTGAACTCACTCATAGATCACGTCCCAAAATTCCCACACCCATTATTTTACAGGGTACAATCAGCATTTTGGGGTAGACAAAACAAAGCCATTCACACCTGATGATTTTCAGGAAGAGGCAAATCCACCAAACAGAATTTCCTTGTTGTTTTCAGGAAATGATTCTCTTTAACTTTTTATCCACCAAACAAAAGAAACTTTTTTGTACCCAATAAATTGCAAGACCTTTCATGGGCAAGAATATTATGATCAGCAACTTCTTAAAGTCTCTCCATACAAAGCATTTCTCCTTGAAGTCTAAATAATCTCAGATCCTGTCTACAACTTGTTCAAACTGTGGTGCTGAGAGTTCCCTAAGAAATTCCCTTACAGGGAATTTATTTAATTCATGAATTTGAAGTCACTACAACCTCTGTTCCTCACTTCCCAATTTAATACAGCTTAATTACATTAGCTCCTTGGCTGTCTCCTCCACCTTCCAGGAACCCCTCTGAGCTAATCAATAATACAAACATAACGAGGAAACTCTTCCTATTTAATTAAATACCTTGAGCAGGATTCCCCCATATCAGTCTGAGGATTTACAGATGAGTTTAAGAGTCATTCAGAAATTGCAATTTCCGTCAGCAAATAAACCTATAATAATTTCTATCATATTTCCATGCTCAATATGTTTCCAAAATAGATTATTAAGACTGTTTTCTCCCTTATGCCTTTTCCCTTCTGTCTTTGTTCTTATACTTTTGCTTTTATAAATACAAATTGCTGTTCAGGAGTAGGCCGGGCCTTTAGGAAAACCAACTGTCTTTCCTGACTGGTAATTTTTGTTACCTAATAAGTTCTGAGAGGGCTCAAATTTTTAATTTTCCTTCCCTATATCCCCCTCTCCGAACACTTTAGTTTTGCCCAGAGCTTTGGGAAGTTGGCTTTTGGAAACATGGAGCTGCCCTATATTTAATAACTTGTGATATATGATCATGTGAAAATACCACCCACCCCCCCACGAAGAGCTGTCTATAAATTTAATTTGAAAACCACCATTCTTTTATTTCTGTAGGGGCTTGACTCCTGTCTCCTCCCCAGCTGAGACAACGGGAGAATCCCACTGTCCCAAGTATTCAGATCTACCTCAGAGTACTCTTTTCCATGCCATCTTGAGGAAACAGCCTCAAGTTGTGCCAGGGGAGGTTTAGATTAGATATTAGGAAAAATCTTTCCAGGGAAAGGGTTGCAAAGCCCTGGCACAGGCTGCCCAGGGCAGTGGTGGAGTCACAATCCCTGGCACTGATCAAAAAACCTGTGGATGTGGCACTTGACGACATGGGCTAGTGGTGAACATGGTGGTGCTGCTGGGTTAATGGTTGGACTTGATGAGCTTAGAGAGGTTTTTCCCAACCTTAACAATTCTATGATTCTGTGATGTACAAATGTGAACCAGTCTTTGTATGCAGTAAATCCACATCTGCCACTGGGGTCATAACATCATTTGGTGATCAGCCTCCAAACAAGGACCCAAACAAGCTGACCCAAAGGTTATTATCAGCAGAACTTACAAGCCATAAAATTAGAAAAAAAAACCCCAAACAACCAAAAAGTTGTTGATTTTATCAACTGAATTTCATTTCACTGCGGCATTAAAGACCCTAAATCAGCTATAAACAAAAAAGCTGGGATAGCAGAACTAGCAGCTCCCTCTGGGCTGATCTGACTCCCTGTCAGTCACCTTGACCCCCCAGTCCCAGTGCCAGCAATTCCTGAGCCCCAATACACCAAGTGCATTCCCAACCTAAACACACACCTCTCATGTAAAACCCAAATAATCTGATAATGGGCACGTAGGCACGGAGAGCATCCTCTGCACATCAAAAACTCGGGAGAGGAGAACGAGGAGGCATTCTAAGAATGAAAGCTTATGTCTACTAGACTTCTATTCAAAGCAGAATCTTCATCTCAGTCGTAGAGATGGGCTGCCCACGCAGTGATTAATTAAACTGTCTTGCTGCTCAAACGGGAGTGGGAAAGGATCCGGCAGAACGAGCTTCAGCTGGAACCGTTGAGTCAAGGGAACAGAAGGCAGTGGGAAACAGGAGTGGAATGTGATCCTGTGTGAGGAACATGTGCTTGCTGGTATCCCACACACTGCTGGGATGGAAGTCACTGCAAAAACAATGGCAACTGGCAGCATTCCAGTGCCTCTTCCCTGCCAAGCACTCGCTCACTGAGCTACCTGCCCTGCCTGCTGCGGGTGGTCCCACAGGGCTTTGGGCTTGGAGGGGAAGAGCAGCTTCCCTGAACACCTGAGAAGCAAAAAACGACAAACAAACCAATAAAAGACAGCTGCTATTTAACCTTAGAATAATAGTTAGGAAGACACACTCCCAGGAACATTAAATGGGTGAATTTATCATAGAAATGACCTTGCTGTTTTATTTCCTTCTTCTAATTCCTCTGTCCACCAGGTGCTTCACATGAGCTAGTTCCATGTTTCTCCACAAAGGGTCAGTACACTTAAAAAGCAGAGTAGCCTGAGTTGGCAGGTTCCTATTCCCTCATCTACACAACTGCTATGCTTCAAGTTAGAGAACTGCACAAAACCCAGAAGAATAAATTAGACCCCAGCCCCAGGAGCAACTGAGGCAAAAGTGTTTTCCCCCAAAGGAATTTTTAGCAGTTTTTGTTAATTCTGATGAGCCAAGCAAACCAAGGAGATGCTGAGATATCAGCACCTGTATGACTCTAATACAGACAGTTCTCTCCTCTCTGAGTCAGTAATAAACATAATCAATATTCCATGGAGCCTGAACACACAGTAAGGCAGAGGAATAGAATCTGAAGCAAGATCCTGATCTTGTCATTATAGACATCATGACACTTTCTGTGCTAACTAAACAGTAACCTCAGTGCAGGGAGCAGAAATCAGCTCTGTTAACTGAGGCAAATCATAATTACCCAATTCGACATGCTCCTTCTGTCAGTAAAAATTAATTTTCTCTCTCTGCCAAGGTCAGTGTACACCAGTATAACTCTTGTGACACACAAAAGGAGAAAGGGAGGACAAATGGACATATCCATGGGTAAGTTTGCAGGGATCCAGCTCCTAAGAACATGCAAGGACTGTCCCTTACAGGTGTCACAGGGCTGCACAGGCAGAGCTCACTGAACTGCCCTGTGTTCAGGGCATTACCTAATTCACCTCTGAATCAAGTCTGCTGGTATGTTTTTTAATGCATAGTGCAAAACAACCTCACACACAGGAAAATCAAGCCAAGCCCCATTTCAAGTCAAGTGATTTTTTTCCCCAGTTCAAAAAGATGAGGTACTGACCACTAGCCAAAAATCCCACTTCTCCATCAGATCCATCCCTCTGGGCAGTAACATGGAAGCTATGAAAAAAATCTACCTGAGAACCCTGTACACTTGCCCAGCAGGAACTGAAGAGGAAACAAATCAGCCCTCCAGTACGAAAAACGAAGGAACCCCCCATTCCCCTCCTCTCTGCACACCCCCAGCTTAACTGGATAGCAACAAATGACACAAACCTTGCCCTGGGCAAAGCCCTCAGCACAGAGGGCTCCCTCAGCCTGTGCCCCTCCTTTCCCTTGTCTCCATACTCTTTAACCCCTCACAGAATGTTCTTATCTTCAAAGCCATCTAATAGCCAAGGTGAGCAACAAAAGTACCTTCTAAAGTACCCAGGGCACCTTTATTCCACTGATTAAACCTTTTATGAGTTCTCTATTAACAGTATCTAAGCATGACCTCCCAACTCCCTCACAAGGGTTAGTTTGGCACTCAGCTAACACAGACAGATGTCTTCCCCCTGTGATTCCCACAGATCCAGTTTCCCCACCTTGGCACACAAAGCTGTCCTGAACACCTGGCCCAGAGGAAGATGTCTACAGTGGAGATGACTGAAATTGCCCTAAATACTGATACTGCAGCATCAAACCAGCTCTGCCTCATAAATGTCTCCTCACAGCCTCCAGTGATCAATCACCTTTATTATCCACTCAAAAAAAAAACCATTCCCAAATGTTTTTGGGAAACAAAGCCATGTGCAATGTGCTTTTTGGGACAATGAGCCAAGCAAGAATCGTGTGTCATCTTTTGTATGAAAGATGATGGCATATCATCATAACTCACTTTGTTTCAGTTATACCAATTAATAAAGCTCTTCATTTGCAGGCATTGGTAGCCAAATTACTGCATGTTCCCCATTGCTAATAATGACAGCAAGGGAATGCTCTCCTGGATAATAGTCCACTTGTTACTCACTAAATAAATTTTTGACAAATGAGTTAGGAAGCAGCACTACTGCAAAATGATTATCTGCCACAAACAGGTCTGCAAGATGATTATCTATCATAAACAGGAAGATTATCTACCCCAGCACTCCAGAGATCATGTGTTTTCCCCCCAAATGATTAGACAAATTATATATTTCCCACAATTTTGCCAAGCACTACTTACTAGAAGCTTCTGCAGACCCTGCATAGGGAGGTGATGAAAGGCTTCTCCTGAAAATATGCTCTGTGTTTTCTGCACCAGAAATCTTCAACGTATCTGGAATTTAGAAACAAAAATTGCACAAATGTAAAAGCAAGGTAACCTCAAATAAAATAAATCTCACTGACAGCAAGAACCTCTCACTACCCACTGCCTTAAAAGTTTTGAAACATTAAACATCGTTTAAAACTGTTCCCGGTTTTCATTTAATTAAGGGGTTTTTTTCCAGGTGCAGAGGCAAAATTCAACTCTATTTTCCTGGGTTTACCTTCAGTACTGACATTTTGGCCTGATAAGGCACATATCCAGCAATTCTTCTGCTGGTATCTAGACTCACAGTTTTCCCAGCTCCTCCTATGCATTCGAAATTAGGAGTCACTTTTTTCCTCCTCCCCCTCATCCCTCAAAATAATTAAAAAGATAGTACTAATTCCCCTTTGAAGCTAAGGGCCATCCAAAGGCTTCAAAACCAAAACTCATCTAAGGCAATTCCTAACTAATAAAATAAAAATCCTCTGATCAATAGCAGTGATATCAATAGTCAATCAAATCAATAGGACAAGGGGGAAAGGCTTTAAGCTGAAGGAGAGCAGGGTTAGATGGGATATTGAGAAGGAATTCTTCCCTGTGACGGTGGGGAGGCCCTGGCACAGGGTGCCCAGAGAAGCTGTGGCTGCCCCATCCCTGGAAGTGTCCAAGGCCAGGTTGGATTTGGAGCAACCTGGGCCAGTGGAAGGTGTCCCTGCCCATGGCAGGGGGTGGGACTGGATGGTCTTTAAGGTCCCTTCCAACTCAAACCAGTCTGGGATTCTGTGATTAGCACAACAATTAAAGAAGGTCACAAAAGCTACTCCATGTTTCCAGAAACGTTACCCATTTCCAGTCCTTCCCCAGATCTTTCAAACTTCTCTCCACGATCCTCCTCCAGTGCACTGGACACTGGTCTTTTCCCAGCTTTGCTGCTGCTTCCTCCAGCTGTGACACTGGTCACGGACACCAGTGGGATGGCCTGGCTCTGCTGAAGGAGCAAGGGGAGAAGGAAACATAAACCACACACTCCTGTCCCACAGGCCTGGAGCCTGCTCTGACCCCCAGGGACTGCTCCCAGTTGTGGTGATCAATCAAAGATCACCAGGGGTGACTTGTCATGGGATCCACCAGCTCCCTCATCCATCCCATCAGGGTCTGGGCACTCAAAACTGGCCAGTTTGATTAAGTATTCCCTTACCTTGTCACAGAAAAAGGGGAAAAAACCTCTCCAACCAGTTTGTTGGGTTAGAAAGCCATTATTTTAAATTATATTAGACATTACTTAGAGCACTGGGTGCATGGGGGATCTCTGCACCTCAAATGCACACCCAGCAACCAAACAGACCAGGTTATAGATATGAAATGAATACATAATCACTACACACCCATCACATCTCCAGAATACATACACATATGTGAACTACTTCTGTGAACTTATCTGGATATGAGTAGGGGTGTTTTGAGGGTCTCTGTCATTTGGGGAACACCCCATTCCCCAAACTATCCCTCTGTGGTCCCAGATATCCCAATGAATCTCTTCTTGCAAGTATCTCAACTACGTGGTCCAGTCACGTTGTACTTTTCTCACTGCCTTTGCTCCAACACACTGTCTTTGTTCTCAGAACTAAGACATCTGCTGGTACATATTAATCACTGCTATAGGCACTAAGCACTATCTGGTACAAGACTAAGCATTAATCATGGATATAGGGATCAAGCACTATTTTGCTAAAGTTACAAGGATTTCCCAACATCTTCCCCCACTGCTGCACGGCCTCCTTTTTAAAGAGATTTAACTTGTTCGGTCAGAACCTGACCCTCTGCCACCACAGGGACAGCATTTTTCACACTGCTATAGGCAGAGGTGAGCAGGAACCATTAACAAATGTCAGGACTGCTGGAGCACAGAGTAGAGCACATCCATCACTTCGGAGCGATGCCCTTTGGACACTGAAGCCTCCCAATAATTCCCCAGGCGTCGGCGTGGGCTGGGTTTTATGGGCTGGTTGTACAAGTACCTCACTTCTCAAGTGCTGTCATTAGGAATTTAATATGTAGCATTTGCTTTACAACCTTCTGGAAGGAGGAGAACCTCCCTGTGCCCAGTTAGAGCTGAGGGACAGCCCCCCAAACTCACACAGCTGAAGAGCTCCGTGGTCAGACCCAGGTAGTTGTGCAAAGCCAGGAATGTCACCCTCTGCAGCCTCACCATGATGATCTGCAAACAAGAAGCATCAGGAATGGATTCAGCATTCTCCCACACTTGTTCTGGCATTTAGATACAATCATGTACCACAGTACCTGAAAGCACTTTATAAAACACAGACTGCACTCTAAGCTGGAATTCCTTTTTAGCAGTTGATAAACTGAGACAGAGACAGAGTGAAGTGATTTACAATGACTTCACAATCATTTGATGGAACGAGAATCCAAAGCCTCACTCACAAACACCAAATGCTTTTTGCTTTCTGTAAACATCAGTAATAGTCCCTTGAAATAAAAGGTTTTGCTTCCAATTTTCCCCCTCTCATTAAAAAAAATTAATCCATCTTTCCCCATTCAGAACCTGAGCCACTGCTCCACAAGCACTCAAAGCTAACCCAGAACATCAGTGCCACCCGACCTTCCTCTGCCCTGCCAGATAATTCCCACTCCTAAGCCATCCTCTCTTTTGTACCAGCTCTCCCAGAGTAAATTAAGTTGGTGTTAATGATCTGTTCCTCTCAACCATCAGGATGAGGAGGTTCAGGTGTCACTCATAAATCATCCAGATACAGAACAGTTTGCAAGGACAAAAAGATTTAGCAGTGACAGTAAAACAAAAGGACAGCCCAGAGTGACTCATCAGACACTGCACCCTTTGGCTGCTACACCTGGAATCCTTCATTCCTGATCCTTGCACCACCTCCCACCTGCAGGAGGGACGAGCCAAACTTCAGTGCTCACCTGAGAACAGTCTGAGCTTCTGCAAAGCAGGGGAAGGTGAACTCTAAGCTAATCCAAAGCACAGCTCTTTCCTCAGGTGCTGACAGACACTTCTGAAGTGGAAATTCACATATCCATCCGAATTTTGTGACTTTTCCAAAGCACCACCCCTCACCAAACAGCTTCTAAGGGTCCAACAGTCCTATTTCAGAATATGTGACAGTCTGTTCATGATCCTAAGCCATTCTGAAGCACTGCTGGTGCTCACCGAGGTGCAGAGCCCACGCCAGCACCTTCTCCCCAAGGACCAACGAGCTCACAGTGCAGGTCAGGCTGATTAAAGAGGCTACCACAGGCAGAGACTCAATTAGTGAAGATATATATATATATATATATAAATTATTTCTTCCTGTATGTGGTAGTGCTGGGATTATTAAGTCTAGGGCTTTAACAACTAGGGGAATGGCAGCATATATTCCAGATCTTGAGCAGTTCCACACCTGCCAAAGGATGGTGAACTTGCTGAACCTCTAAATGTCTTCCTTGTAACTTTGAAATACGAGTGATCCCCCCTTCCCCCTCAGTTCTACCTACCTGTACCACTCTCACCAGAGTTTCAGGGTATTTTTGGAACACATCTTGGAAGGCACTTGCTGGAAGTCTCAGAATTGTGGATGGAGTGGCTGCTCGGGCCGAGACTGTTTTGTAGGGAGCAGGGTGGCCCTGATGGAAAGTTCCAGAGGCACAAGATTAATCCACCAACCATCCAACTCAAACCTCCCCAAATTCCTGCTTTGCTGCTCTGTATGTCTGGCAGACATCATCTGACCACAGAAAGGCTTGAACTTATTACTCCACCCGTGGGTCATGGAGCACGAGAGCGAACTCACACCAGCAGTTCCATCAGAATTAAACAGAGACAGAGGCAGAGAAATAAGAGCTACAAGGAGGTGGATCAGGTTAAGGGTCTGTCAGCTCTGCCACAGTCATTACAGACAGAGCCAGGCTTCAGGAGCACTTCAAATTCCAGCTGAAGAGAACAGAGGGTTTGCTGATTTTATTATTTGTACTGACAGCCAAGCTATTTGCTGCAAAAACAAGCCCAGACTCACACAATCAGTACAAAATACAACAAAATTGTACAGTAATTACATACATAATGGAGTGACACAAAAACCAGGCAGACTTCTTGTGTTTCAAGATACATGTGTCTTCATATATATATATATATATATATATATATGTATGAAATATTCCATGTGACAAAGCCAAACAGCTTCTCTTTACTTAAGACAAAGTGGGTCTAGAACATCTTGCTCAAAGAACAGATTGAGAATTAACAAACCAATGAAAAATAAAATTGCAAGTGGGCAGAATATAGAGATTTTTTTACACTGGAAGGCAAGCCTCTGGTTTAGGATTTTTCCCCTTGAATCACAATAGAGTTTTAACAAAAATCTGTTGCCAAACACTTGGACAAAAATCTCCAGACAGCACCCCTTCTAAAATGTAATGCTGGAAGTAACATCTATAAGTCATGAATTAATTTACTAATACATCAGATACTGATCTACCCCATATTTCTAAGATAAAATGAGCCCTTTTACAGCACAGAGAAGGAGCAAAGGAAGAAATGGAGTTTCTGCTTTAACAGTCACCTCACAGCTTTCCCCCTCCTGAACAGCAGCAGGGAAATTTTTCCAAGCACTAAACACAGAGATATTAAATGCTGATTATAAAGGAAAGAACTCCCAAGTCTTCCAGAGCACCAGACAACTCCACACAATCACTGGGAAGGAATTCCTGCCTAAAGAACCCAGCAAAACCAAACAAGAGACTTTCTGTACCACAATAATCACTCTGGAAAATAAAGCTGCAGCTCTGTCTGCTGGTCTGCAAGGCACCATGAAGTAGGTTCTAAAATTAAATTACATTAATTAGAACCAATTTCTTAATTACACAAACTTCAGCTGACCTTTTTATACAATCTGGGGATGATATTAATAGCTTTGATTTTCAAGTTCCTGAGGGATTGGGAATTTTAAACATCTCTTTGACCTACAGGGCAAAGTTACCAGTGTCCCCAGTTTTAAGTTTCTTTTAATTAGGTAAAGAAATTACCAAAATTAACAAAAATAAATGCAACAATCCACTTTTACAAGCCAGTTTAAAGTCTGCCTTCAGATAAAGAATTAATTTGGAATTCTTATACTTAAATGCAATAGAAAATGTATATTAGTCTGGTTTTCAGTGCATGGATCACTGACTTTGCCACCAATTGTATTTCCTACCATTCTCTACATCAAATATATAGTGAAAAGTAAGGAAATCTAGTAAATCTTTAATTGCTGGACAAGGATAAACACCAAGTTTAATAGTCTTCCATAACAGTTACTCCCAAGAGCCAAATAAGCCCTGTTTATACAGTCATGTGGTCTCCAGTCTGCCCAGTAAAGTGTTTGGGTTTTTTCTTGTGCTTGTGAGAGGAGAGGCCAGTCCTGAGAGTGTCAGAAAACCAGTTTTAGGATAATAATGCATAATGATGCAGCAGCCTTTTCCTCCAAAGAACAGCCCAATCCTCCAGGTTTTCAGCATGTAATTTTGCCTTTTTGATATCCCTGCATGAGAGCAGCTCTGTTCTGAAAGGGCCAACACCACAACTAATGGGTTTGGAACATGCTAAAAGCTGTGAGAGGAGCTCGAGGAGGAAATGTTCTGTAATTGTCAGTTCTCTCAGAAACAAAATAATCAGCAGCACAGGGAGAATACCAGGTTTAAATTATACTGTTTTGCAATCCCACACTCAGATGACAGGAACAGTTAAGTTATAATCAGGAGTGAAACAGGGTTTTTTGAAAAGAACTTTTTGTTCTCAGGGCAGGTAACTATTTACTTGTTCCAAGAACTGTAAGATGTCACCTACAAGCAGCAGCCAAATCCAAATGACAGCTAATGGCCAAACCCAAATGAATTTGGTTAAGAAATATGCTACAACAGATACAGGTGCTTTACATTCTGCCACCTGCAGTGGTAACTCCTTTTTGTACCCAAAAATCTGGCATATTCTCCCTCTTTCCATTCCCTGGGATTTGTCTTCCTCCCCTCCTACCTGACACCCTCCTCACTGCACCGACACTGCTGCACCCAAAGCTCTTGCAGCAATCAATCTCTTCTTTATAACCTCATCCATCTTGTCCAGTGCCACTTAAACAGACCTGAGCCCTGCAGGCTCACCTTTATCCAAGTGTTTTTTCAGCTTCTTTTAATCCTGACTTTCATTTCCCCCCCCTCAGTCACTGCCAGTTGATCAATATTCCTCACAGCCTCTTCTTTTTCATTCCTGCTCCCAGTTTTCCTAATACCAACTCCACAAGGAGGACAAAAGAAGAGTCAATCCCAAAGCTCCAGAAATCAGCATCACAAGCCATCTCTGCTGGTCCCATTTAACTCTGGATGAACATTCACTGTCCAGGGAAAAGCTCCGGCTGCACACACGAGCTCTCAGCAACAGCTGCTGAAAACACTTCGTGGACGCCAACAGTGCTCAGCTCAGAGACTTCTTGAATATTTGGGGCAGCATCAATTCAGAGTCAGATTAACTACACCTCAGAATTGTTCCAGAATACCAGGAAAGGGCCTGTACCTACTTGGATTCAAAAGCTTCCAGCTTCTCCTTCAAGTTTAGAGAAATCGGCATCGATCTGTTCTCAGAATAAGTGAAGTCTCATGTCACAGCTGGTACCTTTGTATTTAGTAGATCTAAAGGGACTTTCCAATTTAAAAACTGAAAGATTAAACTAGAAAAGTGCCTCTTGTGTGACCTTTCTTTTAGATCCAACAACAAGAGCTCTTGCAGCAACCTCAACTGTCTCACAAAGCTCTCAGCTAAGTGAGGGACCAGCCTGACATCACGTGCTGCAAAATCAGCCAAAAGAATCCCAAATTTAGATAAGGCAACTGAAATCCTCTCTGAACACACCCTTTCTTCATGTCAGAGCCTTGTGCTGAGTGACAAGGTTATGGTACCTGCAGGAAGTTCTAACTCACTGATTTGGAATGACACAGAGGAGTCTCCTCTACTTTGATCAACTTCCTCACTCCTTGCCCATTTTCATGCTTCTCCCATAGCCAAAGCCAGCAAGGGACATAAGGAAGAGGAGAAACAGAAATAAACCAGGCAGTTTTATTTCCCACAAAGCTGGGAAATGAGGAACAAAAGAGTTGTAAAAATAAATGAGAACGAGTTTAGCAAAAAAAAAAACCTGCAAGGTTTTTTCATTCCATGTTCTTCTCCACGCTGCTAACTCTGTTCAAGACACTTTCAATCATTTTTATTTTTTTATTTACCAGTGGTATAACTAATGAGAAAGAGGAAAAAAATCATAGAATGAGAATTAAAAACCAAAAAAGATCCTAACACAACACAAAATGAATGGCAACACTTAAAAAAAACAAAGCCAAAGGACACTGTTATACAAGAAGGATTTCTTTTCCTATATTCCTTTATAAAGCAAGAACATGACTAGTATTAATGTTCCTATATGATGGTTCTGCTCTTTAGAATATTGTCATTAAGAAAATTTAGTGGTGGAAGTAACAAGGAGAAAGGTACTAATACGAATTTACAAATATATTAATACGAATTTGACAGCAAGAACTAGACTTGTACAGTCCAAATTATTCACATGCCATTACTTTCTACAGAAAAAAAGAGTGACCAAGCTTAAAAAAATGTACCCCTGTCAATAGGTTTTATGGGAACTATAAATACAGATATACAGATGCATGTTTGCATTTAAAATGGCAAAGAACACTTTAGAGAATCCTTAAACTACTTAATGGTACCTTTTGATGAAGAGAGACAGCCAAGCACAACAGAAACATGATACAAGGTCAAACATGAATACAGATTTGATTATCTTCGTCCTCTCAACTACTAAAATCCTTCAAGAAAGCACATTCAGTGCTTGAGTATCATCAAAGACAACGAATTCAACACCTTCCATTCAGGTAATTCCCAAATAGCTGTGCTGGGATGATTTCAGCAAAACCATCAGTGTAATTCCAACTGAAACAAACCCCACCAATTTGTACATCAAATATGAGCCCCAAACATTCAGCTCATCCTGACCCCTGCCAAGGAGCACAACCCTCAGCTGGTCACCAGCACCACCAATGTTGGAAAACAAATCAATCCTTCAACTGTTTTCACGGTATAATCACAGTAATAGCAACTGTCAGGTTTATTTTCTTTAGATTAAATAAAAATAAATTCAGTAAGCAACAAACCAAACTCCCAGGCACATGGTGTGACTCTTGGGGATGGTCTGCAGGGCTAAGGGTTGCACTCAATGGTCCTTGGGAGTCCCTTCCAACTCAGCATATTCTGGAATTCCGTGAAACAGTGTAAAAGCCTGGAATTCTGAGCCCCAACCTGGTCCTGCTCCTGACTTGAGTTGTGCCCTCGAGCAAATCAAACCCTGTCTCAGACTTCCAAACATAAAGGAATAATCCAAATCCTGCTGCTGATCAGGAACAGCCAGAGTTACACTGCCAAGCACACGAGTCACGACCACCTTACACACCCCAGAGCTCACTCTACACCTGGGGAGGCCTGGGAGGAGGAGAAGAGTTAATCAAAAAACCATCTTGCATCCTGAGTCCTTCCCAGCAATATTCAACTCCTGCTCCCCCTGCCAGGCTCTGGCACCCAGCAGCACTGCAGGAACCCTGCAGCTCCCAGGACTCACCGTGATGACGTCGAGGATGCTGAGAAGGCTGTGGACACTGTCTCCTGCCAGCACCTCCTTCACCACCACCTCTGTTCCATCCTGCAGGCACAGACACACCATCACTGCAGGCTCACAGCTGCATTTTGGCAAATTCGGAGCATTTCAGAAAGCTTAACTTGCTCCCAGTCCTCCCACACACTCTGAGCAGCTCCCATTCCAGGTTCCCCATTGGGACTTGGATGCTTGTTTTGTCTCTGCTCTGATGGAAATGTGCTCATTCCAACCACAGGGCTTCAAACCACCATTCTAGAAGTGATAAATTAAAAGAAACTAAAAGCCAGCTTTGTCTGGGGGGAGTTGGACCTGCTTGTCTTTGCTTTTTAACCACCAACAAAACAAAGCTCCCTTCACTCTGAGACAGAATCAGCCTCCTTTATCGAGGGGTTTCATGTCAGGAACAGAAAAATGTAAAATTATTCAGAAATCATCACATTTGGTATAATTTCCAAACACAAGTCCCCTGCATTTTCAGCCATTGAAAATCTGTTCACAACCTAAAGCCAAACTCAATGTTCAGTCAGGAAGAAGAAAAATACTAAAAATCAAATTTGGCAGAAAGGATCACAAGGGCTGGCACTCAACATTTTAAGACTCACCCATGAAACAAACCATCATTTCTTTTCCCTGTTTACCCAAAAGTGAATCTGACTCTCCCACCTCCCAGGTAAAACCCCGTAACTCCCATTAGAATATTCTGAAGTGAGTGAGGTCTCTCCTGCTCTCTGTGCCCACCTACTTTCTATAATGACCACCCCAAAAGGGAATGTTCCCAAGCCCACCTTGCACCCTGTCCTCCCTCAATAACTGTGTGTGAGGATATTTCAACGTGCCCCATCAGCCCTGTGTCCTTCTCTCCCATCTGAGACACGAGGGACCAGAGCTACAAACCTCGATCTTTATGAACACCACGGCCCCGAAGAGTTGGGAGTAATCCCTTCTAAATCCCTATGACTCACAGGCCTAAATCTAATCAATGCTTAATGATTCATGCCAGGCTGTATGCTATGCCAACAAATGTATCTTAAAAACTGCAGATCAGTTGGTCCTTACACTTTCCTGGATGCAAACTTCCAGCTTCCCATCCTGCACGACGTAGATGCTGTTGTCCAGCTGCCCGGGACGGAAGATGTACTCGCCCTCGTGCAGCTGCACAAAGAACATGTGCTTGCACAGCTCCAGGAACAGAGGCTTCTCAAAGTGCCCAAGGACCCTGCAGCAAAGAAAACGCAGAGGGAAACCCAAAATCACCAGTGCCCTTGGAAAATCCTTCCTAAATTAGCGAAGCACGAATAACGGAGGAAGCCCCAAGGGGCTGCTGTGGGGCAGAAGGAGCAGAGCTCCCCAAAACAGAGGTGCAAGAGCACTGTGAAACACTGAGACTGTGAATATTGGGGCTCCTTTGGAGAAGAACTCCAAGCAGGCTCAGCAGGAAGTGCAGCCAGCCTTCTTCCAGCAAACACCAGCACGGCTTTGGAAGGAGAAGGAATTTAAAACCCTGCAGGATTCACACACTGCAGGAGAAAAGTTACTCCATGGAACTCTCCCTTTTAGTGCAGCTGCCCTGTCCATGGGACCAGGACACAGGAGAAATATTGAAAACATAGGGAAAAATTCCTGTCATCTGCACACACTTTAAATTTGGAATATTCCATCTCCTGCAGGTAACGTGCACCTGGACTCCTCCAGTGCTGAAAATAGCCAGTGACTACCAGGCAGACAGAAATACAGGTCTTAAACCTGATCACTCTGTTACAGAGCTCCATCAGCTCACATTTATCAGGATTAATCCATCAAATTCTACTGCAACATCAATTAGTCACAGGAGATCATAATTCCACCAGATGACTTAAATAGCATTTTTATTCGAGAATGTATGACCTTCAGGAATTAATTATATCATATCTGGGAGAAAAAATGAACATCCACAAACAAAACCAAAATTACAGATGGGAAGATCTGAAACTCTTGGCTGTGTCAGCAAATTTAACCTCTTGCTGAAGGGGCACAAAGACCAACCCTTCTTCTTAATCCGCCCAAGAGCCCTGGGGATTAAATTGACTTTGATTTGATTTGCAACCTTTTCAGCCAGAGAAGTGAAAGATTCTGCAGCTTAGAGAGCTGTCAATATGGTATCCAATTAACATTTACCAATTACGATGCTTTTCTGTACCAAAAAATTGTCAGAGCCTACAGAGAAGTTTTAAAATGCACTACATTTGTTCATGTTAGAGCACCTTCATTATCACTATCCCCAAATTCAGGCCACTAATCTACATCCTTTCCCCCCCACCACCATTTTTTATTTTTTAAAACAAACTCCATTATTTTCTTAACATTTCTAGAAAATTCCAAGTCCTTTATTCTGTCCTCATGCTCAGATGAATTTCAGTCAACTCCTTCAAGATTCTGACCCTGCAGCCATAAAGTCTGAGACTTGATACAACCTGCCAGACATTCACATCACTTGGACATCCAAACTCCACACTTATCTTCCCATTTAACATTACCTGACATTTTTAAGCATGTACAGGACTTCTGATGGCAAATGGGAATTCTTCACATCAAATTCAGTCAGATCTGCCTCTAGCAAAGAGGGAGGAGGCTCCTTCCTCTGCAGAGTTGGACATTCCTTCTTAATACGTAGAATCCTGCAAAGGAAAACCTGAGTCAGGGAGCCAGGACATCCCCTCATTTGTCTTAATTATATAGTAAGTACTGAGTAAGTATATAGTGAATACTAAACACTCACCATCCCAAGTTACACATCATCAATTAGCTAAAACTTCCACCCTCCTGCCTTTCTTCAACCAAACCAGACAGTGCTGCACAAACCACTCCAGTCCAGCAAACTCCCCAGCTGATCCTCAGCTGAAAGGACTGGGAAAAGCCAGGAGCTATGGAAAAGTGCTCTGCTAAAGACTGGACCACAAATAAAAACTCCAAACCCGTCCTCCATGGTACAAATTTTCCCCTTCCCAAAAGCCCAAGTACCTTTTAGCCAGAGATAAAACTTTTGCCCGTTTGCGCATCCTCTGGCGAGGCACCGTGTTCCCAACCAGGGAGTTTGGAAGAGTTGTAACCTGGGAGGAAAGAAGGAAAACAAAAACAGTTACTAAAACCCAGAACACACCAGAAAAGCCAACCCAGTAGTTCCAACTCTGCAAAGGTTCCAAGCCATCCCCCAGCCATTCAGAACCACAGAATGTGCTGAGCTGGGAGGGACCCACAAGGACCATCGAGTCCAACTCCTGGCCCTGCACAGGCCCATCCCCAAGGGTCACCCCCTGTGCCCAGAGGATCATCCAAACCCTCCTGGAGCTCTGGCAGCCTTGGGGCTGTGCCCACTGCCCTGGGGAGCCTGGTCAGGGCTCTGGGGGAGGAACCTTTTCCTGAGATCCAACCTAAGCCTCCCCTGAGGCCATCGGAACATGAACAGCTCCTGTAAGACCTCAGAGGACTGGAACAACATCTGCTTCAGGATCACTTCCTTTCTATGAAGCAAGAAAAATATATTTTGATTTTACTAAGCAACTGCTACAGTGGTAATGGACGGTAGAGGGGAAAAACCTTCAGCTGTGGTTCTCACTCAGGAACACTCAACATGAGGAAGAGGAGGAAGGCACTGATCTCTCCTCCCTGTGAGCAGGGACAGGACCTGAGGGAATGGCTGGAGCTGTGCTATGGAGGGTCAGGTTGGATCTCAGGAAAAGGTTCTTCCCCCAGAGGGTGGTTGGGCACTGACCAGGCTCCCCAGGGCAGTGGGCACAGCCCCAAGGCTGCCAGAGCTCCAGGATGGTTTAGACAATGCTCTGAGGGCCAGGGTGGGATTGTTGGGGTGTCTGTGTAGGGCCAGGGTTTGGACTGGATGGTCCTGGTGGGTCTCTTCCAACAGAGGATGTTCCATGATTCTACCTGGCAGTCTGTGTGCTGACAAACCAGGGCCACATTCACGTCTGAGCTGGTGACAAACCAAGGCATTTTCTACTTTTCCTGGTTCCCAAGTGCCACCCTCTGGAGAAACACATCAACTGCTACACCAAGAAAACCCCTCATTAGTTACTTCCAAAACATTCCTAGTTCTTCATTTGTTTCTCAAAGAGTTGAATCTCTGTAAAACATCTCTGTCACAAAATAATTTTTTAATTAGTTTGGAGGGGGGTTTTTTAAGTAAAACCTTGGTATGTTATCAAAAATCCCCAAATTGCAATCCACAGCAGTCAGTGTGTAATAGCCTCTGCCTTAGTCAGGAATAAAAGTAAAAAGCAAAGTCTAAAACCCCAAACCCAAAAATACCTGAAATGAATTTCCCACGTGGAATTCTAAGCATCCTTTACTTACGTGACTTACATATAAACAGCCGTGTTAAAGAATATTAAAATTGTGAAGTTGCACATTAACATTATGAGGAATATTAAAATCATGAAGTTGCACACACACAGTTTCCCTCCACTGAGGGCTTTTTTGGCCAAGTTCTACATAAAAGCTGACCTGCAATGCAAGGTTCAGGGAGTAACCACCTCCTCCACAACGAGACAGAGCTCCAGAGCTGAATATTAAACCCAGCACAGTGTCTAATTAAGTCCAGGTATTTGAATTCACCTCAACAAAGTGAATCAGGTAGAAGGCCATGGCAGCTCACAAAAGGAAATGTTCCTCAACATCCAGTGACTGGCAACCCAAGGTTCCTTTCCTGTACCTTATTTTTCTAGAGATGCAGGTTTCCAGTGCCCTGGCACTGGGAGTGCTCTCCTGGACTCAGCAGGTCATGGCACAGGGCACAGCCAGGATCCCCCCAGCCACACTCTGCCTCTGGCCCCCCACAAAAGGGACCAGTCCCAGCCTGGCCTTGCAGCTTCCCAAGACTTCTGACTCTCCAGGACAGAGGGCAGGGAGAACATACCACAGTCAGAATTAAACAGCCTTGGTTTTTCTCCAGCCATTTGCACCCACCATCCTTCACTAAACAGAGGACTATAAATAAGCAACAAATATTTGGGGCTCTGAACAGCACCACCTGAGGAAGAAGTAGCTTTCCAAAGTCAGGGATTATCAGTAGCATCACATATCTATCTATCTATCTATATCTCATATCTATATGTGAGATACATATATTATATAGATATATCTGTTATAGATATATATCATATATTGATAAAACGAGGGGGAATGGCTTTAAACTGAAAGACAGTGGATTTAGATTGGATATTGGGGAGAAATCCTTCCCTGGGAGGGTGGGGAGGCCCTGGCACAGGTTGCCCAGAGAAGCTGTGGTTGCTCCATCTCTGGAAGTGTCCAAGGCCAGGTTGGACAGGGCTTGGAGCAACCTGGGCTGGTGGAAGGTGTCCCTGCCCATGGCAGGGGGTGGGATTGGATGAGCTTTAAGGTCCCTTCCAACCCAGACTACTCTGTGATTCCATGATATTTAAACAATCATCAGCTCCATACAGGAGTTAAGATATTCAGTGATTTATTACTACCCTCACTGGCTGCAAATATTCTCGAAAGAGCTAAAGTTTGGCCAGAAGGAGAAGCTCCTGCTGCTCCTCCAGCAATTCAGGAAGCATTCCAGGGGTTCTGAAACATCCACAAAATCCCAGAGAACTTTTACAGGTTGAAGGCCTAAAGTATTACAGAGTCTACACCTCCCAGATTGGATTTTGACCTCCCTTCCCTCCCCCTGTGCCAGATGCTCTCACCTTCCTCATGATCTTCCTCCCATAGAACATCACTTTGTCCCTCTTGCGAAACCTGTACTGGGGCACGTGGGGCTGAAGCTGTTCTGGAACAGAGAAGCATCACGTCAGAAACCACCTGCTGAGGGAAAACACCTGAGCACAGCTTGGCAATTCTGCTGCCCTGGCTCCTGTCTGCTCAGCTGGCACCTCTCAGGGTCAGCACTGGGAGTTTAAACCAACCCAGGACACCTCAGCACCCAGCTCTGAGCAGCCAAGCCAGAGCAAGGAAGAGCTGCTTTGGGGTTCTACCTCAGCACCAGAGGAGATAAAGGGCTCTCTAAACAGATACAAGGATTAGGCAATTTTAATCTCACAAAGGAAACCTCTAATTCAATCATTTCTCATTACTGTAACAGTGAAATCACAGCAGGGCTGACATCATTTGCATAATTTAAAGCTGATAATAAGGCTGATCCTAATCACACACTGGAGAAATAAAAACCTCCAGCACCCTGAACGTGACAGTTTTGGATTCTGGGTTCAGACCTGGGTAAGTGAATCAACAAAAGTTCTTCACCCTTTTAATGCTGTTTTCCTGCAAGAGCCACCCCTTCACAGCAAACAACTACCACAGATTATTACAAAAATACTCAAGTTAGCTGGGAAAACTGTTTTTAAAACTTACTTAGTTATCAAATACTTACTGGATTGTCTCAGTCTTCTGTACACAACAAACACAACAACTGCAATAAACAGCAGTGCCACTGCAGCTCCAATTGCAATTCCAGTCAGCTGGGAGGGAAGTTTAGGGGGAAAGAAGTTAATATTTTCAACTTTATAAATTACTATGTACTTTTTGGAGGGCTGAGGCACACTGAGCTCAGTAGGATATCTAAAAGTCAAGCACGTTCATAAATACTTGATTTTTAATTCAAACCACATATGCAAGAAATTTAAGCTCTATCAGTGGCTCACATGCAAAATACTTCACATTTTTCTTCCCAAAGATCCATGAGCTGATTAACTCAACGTACAGGAGATGAACAAGGGCCTGGAGTGAGAGGACAAGGGGGAATGGCCTTAAGCTGAAGGAGGGCAGGGTTAGGTGGGATATTGGGAAGAAATTCTTCCCTGTGAAGGTGGTGAGGGGCTGGGACAGAATTCCCAGAGAAGCTGTGGCTGCCCCATCCCTGGAAGTGTCCAAGGCCAGGTTGGATTTGGGGCTGGGAGCACCCTGGTCTAGTGGAAGGTGTTCCACCCATGGCAGGGGGTTGGAACTGGATGAGCTTTGAGGTCCTTCCCAAACCATTCTGTGATTCTAAATAACAGGAATTAATTCCTGCCTTGTGCCCAGCGACAGCAAAGAAACAAACACTCAGACTTTGACAATTCCCGACAGTTCAGGAGAAGCTGCACACTCTGGATGCACAGCCAACCTCCAGCCATACTTTACCATAGTGGTGTGTATCCTGTCCTCCACAAACTGCAGCATGGGGGTTGCATCTCCTGGGATCCCAGCCTGGCACCAAAAGGAAGGTGAAATTAGTTTCCCACAACTGGCAAAGAGCCTCCACAAAAACATCTTAGTGCCTGGTCTGTCACATACCTTAAAACACAACTGGATTGTGTTTTTCAGCATCTTTCTTTGATTTTGCAAACACAAACATTCAGTGGAGAGGGGTTTTTAGGGGAGTTTTGAGCTGGTGTCAGTTCAACACGTTCTAAACAGCCCTAAACCAGGCAATAACTTTTTTTGGGGGTTTTAAGTTCTTCAGAGCAACAAGGATGAGAATGGAATGTAAAAGACTTCATGAGACTGAGAAAATAAGTCATAAATCAGCAGGTTAAAGTCATCATAAGAAGTAAATGATGCAAAAGCCCTGACCTCAGGTGGGCTGTCCTGGGACCTGTGCCCACCACTGCTTCTCAGGAATAAAACCTGGCAGTTAAAAGAACCTCACAAATGCCAATTTAAACTTAGGAGAAGGGGGGCAAAGGCAAAAAAAATACAACAAACAAGTGGTAAACAAACTCAGTAGAAGGAGATATGTCCCCCTGCAAGTCTTGAACCTGCCAAGTCCTTGAATTAAGCACTTCACACAGTTCTGGTAACAATTCCTGCCCCTGGTTCCAGACCTGGATGACATCTGAATTTAGCTTTGACACCAAGAGAAAAATGAAGGGCACACAGAGTCACCAAACTGGTCTCTCTCATAAAATTAATTCCAGTTCTACAGCACAAATGAAACTCCTGCCTGACCAGTCACCTCTCACTGTGCTCACTTTGGCTTCTCAGGTTGCTTTAACACAGCACATGGACAATTTATCTTCCCAACATGAGTCAAACTCTATCACTATTCTTATCAGACTATTATTCATGGGATTGTAGCAGAAAGTCAGAAAAATTTGAAAAAATCAAAAGCTGAAAACGTGGTAGCAACAGATACAACACCTGGTGACACAGAGACTTCTTGGTGTAAATCTACTGTGGTCACTTAATGTATTTCCCCTTGACAGTGTCAGGGACATGGACAGCTCTGCTGCTCTCCAGGCCTGTGGGATCTCAAATAACATCAAAAATAGTAGTTGCCAACTGACACTCACAGTGCTGCTCCAGGAGGAGGAGAAACAAACCCACGAGCAGAAGAACAAAACCCCACCATGCCCAGAGCGAACCCTCAGCCTCAACGAGGGAAAGAAGAAATTCAGAGCTCCAAGAAACACTGAGAGGTTCTTGCAAGGTTTTTACCAGTGAAAACATGATCCACCCAGACCCGGGGGTGGATCTTTTCCAGCATTGCCAATCCTTCTGGAAAAGCAGAGGAAGCAAAGCAGACAAGGTGAGCTGTTGAGACAACTGGGACATGTCAGCAATTCCTGGGCCATGACAGCACCTGGGGCAGGTGTGAGGTCATGGGCAGCTCCTCTCTGAGCAGGGCTGTGGCCAGCACCCAAATCCAAGGACTTCACAGGTGCCTCACACAGCCCCAAACAATTCTCAAACCCAAAACACCTGTGGAATAACCCCGAAAAATCCCTCATTCCATCAGAAAATGGAGCAAAGACCTGCTTAAAGGATGGATTAGCATAAAGAGCTTTTCTCTGCTTCTTGGTGTTGGAGTTTCCTTAAGAAACAGAGACTTAACAGGACTCAGCACCAACATGCAGCCTCATAGCTAATGCTCACACCCATCCAGAGTCCAGGCACAAACACTCAGCTCTGCTGAGAGTCCAACAACATCTCCTTGCAGTCCAAGGCAAACACTGAGACATTCCCTGTCCTGGGAGGGGTGGGAGAAGCTTATCAGCACTGAAAGCAAGGCCTTAAAATTGGGACTGCCCAAAACATCAGACTTCCTCCCTGCTCTGAAGCACCCAGGGTCACATGCCTTGTTTTGACTACAGAGACTGGAGTTTCACAAAACATTTTGAAGTGCTCAGGAGTAGGCTGTGTGTGTTTTTTAGTTCTGAGAACCAAAATAGAATAGAATAGAAGAACTATTTTGTTTTTCAGGACTGTGAAAAGCACCACATGCCTTGTTGGACCACGAGTTTCCAATTTATGGTTAAGAACAAATGCAAGGAGAGCAGGCTGCCAGAATTCTGCAGTTCTCCCTTCTTTAGGCTAAACCCATACAAAACAAAAGGTATTTAAACCATAGCATTGTGCAAACAGTTTAAAATACAAAGCAGACTATGAATGGTTTGTAGCAAATAAAAAAAATGTTTAAAATAATAAACACACAGATAAATGGGACCAATCCTGAAAAGTTTGAAAGGATAAAACTCTTGGAAGGAAAGGTTCCTTCAAAGTAAAAGCGCCTAAAGGCATTGCCCAAATGTTATCAAATTAGGTACAGCACCTTTCAGCTGCTGGAAACACTCCCAGGGAAATAAATATGCCAAAAAACAAGAGCAAAGCAAAGTACCTCAAGGCTGGTGCTGTTGTCTTCTTCAACCATGTCTGGAGGCACAGCAGGAACAAAAGCAAAACCAAAAAGAGAAGACTGAGTTAAGAGACGACCACACTCTCTGATCCAAGTTCTTGAACAATACAAGAACACAAGGGGAACAATAACTTTTTAACTTTATCGTTCCTTTGTGCTGAGCAACAAAACCCAGCAGGGAAGTGCTGGGGGACAGGGCTGTGTCTCCTAAAGAAACTCCTCCACAGCCACAGGTGTTCACGCACAGGACATCCCGGGTGCCCACAGCCCGGTGGCACAGCCAGAGCCACCTCGGGGCACCCGTGCTCCAAGGAAAAGGGAACACCGGGATGACACTGCCCGGGGCACACCGACACCGTGCGGGGCGACCGGAGCAGGACCGGGCTGCGGGGCAGGGCAGCACCGGGGCACCCTCCGGGTCAACCAGGGTAACCCTCCTGGTCAGCTCCGGTCAGCCCGGTTACCGTCCTGGTTACCCACCGGCCAGCCCCGGGTCACCCTCCTGGTCAGCTCCGGCCGGACCCGGGTCACTCTCATGGTCACCCCCTGGCCAGTCCCGGGTCACCGTCCTGGTCACTCCCCGGCCGAACCCGGGTCAACCCCCGGGTCATCCTGCGGGTCAGTCCCGGGTTACCCTCCTGGGCAGCCCCGGGACACCCCCGGGTCGCCCTCCCCTGCCCTGTCCCGTCTCGCCCAGTCACGTCTCGGGACGCGAGAGAGAAACAACAACCCCCCCTTCCGCCGGCACACCGCGACACCGGCGCCCGGCGGGGGCACCGCGGGGCCGCACCGCCCGCAAGGCCCGGGTCCCGCCGCCGCTCCTCGCCGAGCCCGGCACCCTGGCACGCCCTCACCTGCAGCTGCTGCAGCTGCTGCAGCTCCTGCTCCAGCCGCGGTCTCCATCCCGCTCCCAGTCCCGGTCCCGAACCGGCTCCCGGCACCCGCCGCTCCCCGGGCCGGGGCCGAAGGGCGCGGGGCGCACTCCCCGCCCGCCGCCGCCAGGGGGCGCCCCGGCCCGGCCCCCACCGCTGATTGGCGGGAAAGCCCCGGCCTCGCCAGGCCCCGCCCATCCCGCGGGACGCTCGCCGATGATTGGACCGAACAGTGCGAGGGGAGCATCGGCGCTGCGGATTGGCTGGTGTTTGTCAGCCAATGGGAGCGGGCGGTGTTGCGTGGTAGGGAGGTGGGAGGGTGGACGGGCCGCTCGGGGTCGTGAGGAGGGACTGGCCCCGCCGAGCCCCCGGGGCCTTCAGGGAGCGGCTCCGGCTCCGCTGACCACTCGAGTGCCTGCAGGGAGTGGCCTGGCCCGGGGAGCCCTCGGTGCCCTCAGGTATCGGCCCGGCTCGGGAGACTCTGAGTGCCTTGAGGGACCGGCCTCGCTGAGCCCCCGCTACCCTCAGGGAGCGGCTCTGGCTCCGCTGAGCCACTGAGAGTGCCCTCAGGGAGCGGCCTCGTTCTCAGTGACCAGCTTCGTCCTCGCTGAGCCCTCGATACCCGCAGGCCCGGCCCGGTGCCCGCCATGGGGCTCCTGTCCCAGCTGGCCCGCGGGCTGGTGCGCGGCGCCGACCGCCTGTCTCCGTTCACCAGCAAGCGCGGCCCGCGGAGCTTCAACAAGGGCCGCGGCGCCAAGAAGCTGGGCGTGCTCACCAGCAACAAGAAGTTCCTCCTCGTCAAGGAGATGGTGCCCGAGTTCATCGTGCCCGACCTGACGGGCTTCAAGCTGCGGCCCTACGTGTCGTACCGCGCCCCTGAGGGCTCCGAGCCGCCCGCCACGGCCAAGCAGCTCTTCGACGAGCTGGTGGCTCCGCGCATCGAGAAGGACGTGAAGGACGGCACGTTCGACCCAGACAACCTGGAGAAGTACGGCTTCGAGCCCACACAGGAGGGGAAGCTCTTCCAGCTCTTCCCCAAGAACTACGTGCGGTAGGGAACGAGCAGCGCCCTCGGCGGGGGCGAGGCACGACCGGCACTCGCAGGACTGGCTCTGGCACCGGACATTAAAGCAGATCCTTCCACCTTGTCCCTCTGCAATGTGTGATTTAAATCCTGGGGGAAAGTGGCCGTTCATTCCACACAGTCGTGCCTGGAGAGCACAGCCCTCCCTGGAGGTTCTCGGGGTGAGGGGCCTGTGAGGTTTCTAAAGATAAAGTACTGCAAAGTTTAAGAATTAAACTCTTTAAGAGTTAAATTAAGGATGAAAACGTTCACTCCGGGAGATGGGAGACATGTTCAGTGTGTGCTCTGAGCATCCAGTCTGAGTCCTGAAGGTGGTGTCTGCAAACCCCCATATTTTCGGGGCTGGGGAGGGCCAGGAGGGGTTGATGCTGCTCTGGCTCCCAGGTCTGAGTCCTGCAGCCCCAAATCCCCACACAAGTCAGTGCAGGGGCACAGGATGTGGGATCACCCACAGTGGGGGAAGGGAAGGCACAGCTTTTCTAACTCCAGTTAAACTCTGCATTTTTTACTTCCTGTGAAGCTCATCAGAGTAACAGTTATACACAGGGGGTGGTTTTCTGCCTTCAGCTTTGGGTGCAGCACCTCAGCCCTTCCTTTCAGAGACTTTCTTTCCAGCCAGGACACTTTGCAGGTGGAGGGGTTGGAGGATGGGGCAATGCAAAGCTGGGGAGCAGCAGATCCTGTGCCCTTTCACACCAGTTCCAGCTTGGTCTTCACCACGTCACTGCCCCCACACCCCATGTGAAGGCAGATTGTAACTGGAGTCTCCTCTTTTTTCTGAGCAAAGCAAGGACTGGCCTAAAGCCTAAACCAGTGCCCCAGTCTGGCCCCAGTGACAGCACTCCAGCTTTGCTGCCCTCAGGCTGTTTCCTCTCCATCTCACAGGGCAATAAAAAGCCTTACAAGCTTTAAAACAGAGCTACAAGGACACACCCTCCATGTTCCCAGGAAACTGGCTTGTCTGCTCTGACTCCCAAAGAACATTCACCAAGTGCCCTCCGAGCCTGAGCCAAGTTCCTTTGATTTTTAAACCTCAAAACAACCAAGAAAAATAAATCACTTATATTGGCTTTATTTTAGAAACGTCCAAAAATAGCATGTTTTGGTTTGTTGTTTTTTTTTAAGAAAAGCTCTTGTTTGCAGTACTAATATGAATCTTCATGTAACAGTGCTCAGTGTTTTTCTAAAATACACAGTCACCCCTGAGCAGGGGGTCTCAGAGCAGTCAAGTTCTCATCTGGATCTCATTTGGATGCAGCACTGTTATACAGAGATCTGTTGCTGGTGTTTCTTTTCCCCCAGACAACTCATCCTTTAGGACATTCAAAGACAAACCACCCAAGCTAAGACTTACTTACCTAGTTTAAGCTGGTTTTTTGTTTCTAGGGATAGATAAAATGCTCCAGAAAGGGTGTTTTGCTCATACTTCACAGTGAAAAAAGAAAGCTAATGGAGCAACCATGAGAAATCCTGCAGCCATTCCTGGAGGTAGTTTGGGCAATGCTGTTCAGGTTTTGGTTTCTGTACGTATTTTGAACTTAAAAAGATGTCAGGAAACACCACTTAGACTTTGTGGAGGTTTTGATCTTAAAGCTGTTCACCTTTAAAAAACTGAAAGATCTTGACTTTGGACCTAAATGTGGAGAGCAGAAAACATGAGCTGGATACAAGAGGCTGTGGGGGGCAGTTGAGTGGCACTAAATGAGGGCAGGGTCTACTACAGGGTTTATCTAAACCAGGCAGGGATGAGGGAAACTGCCAGCAGGGGAGGAGTGATGGGAAATGATGGAGGTGCAGCAGGATCCTCAAAAGAAAGGCCCTGCTCACCACAACACCTCCATCTGCACCTCCTCCTGAACCAGAATGGCTATTAAAAATCTCTCCAAGCACACTGCACTGTGCCTGGCCTGCCTGAGCTCTTCTCAAGGGACTGGTTTACACATCAGCCTCTGCTCAGGGGCTTTTCCAAGACATTCCGGGAACGTTCTGATCACATGCTGGGTCTACTCATAGCAGCACAGTCTGGTTTGTGATGGAAGGAGGAGAACAGGCTTAGCAGATCAATGTGAAATGCAAACCAGCTTTGAAAGGATCCAAATCTGAGGTACAAAGCCTGTGAGAGGAGGGCTGTCCCACCTGGAACCAGGACATTAAGAGAAAAACTAAATAAAGCTGTCTGTGCTTGACCACAGGCCTCTAAGCAAAGGGTTTCCCCTGTGCTGAAAATAAAACACCGGGAATTCCATCAGTGTGGGCCTTGAAGGACTCCCAAGCTCAGCAGTAAAACTGGGAAGGCCCAACAGGAGTTAGGCAGGGTGATAAGTTCAGCTGTCACTCTCAGTTCAGTTTTCCTGCCCCTCTCCCTTGGGACTGGTCAGTGCAAACTTTCAGCTGTTCTTCTGGATGGAGATCCAGGACTTGGCACGTCAGGAGTGGTCCCCAGGCTCATCTCCCACCTCCAGACATGGAGGATGTTGTCGTAGAAGGAGCAAGTGGCCACGATGCTCGTCTCCTTGGGGCTGTCTGGGGACCTGGCTGAGCCCCCACTGCTGTCCAGGCCTGTTCCATTGGGGCTCCTGGCTCCAGACTCAGGGCCACTGGCTGAGCCGGGATCTGGGCCTCCAGCCAGGTCTAAACTTCCCTTTAAGGCAGAGCCCCTGCCCAGGCCAGGGTCCCCACCCAGCCTGGGAGCTGCCCCCACTCCGAACGGCACGGCCGGGCCTTCGCTCTCCTCATCCAGGATCACATCAAAAGTAGCTGTGGGAGACTCATAAATTATCTTCAGGTTTTGGACCTGCAAATTCAGCCTCTCGTCTCCTTCCTCTGCTCCCGGGAGCTCCTCCGAAGGCTGGCACATGGCAGCAGGGTCGTGTGCTGCAGGCAAGGAATCCCTGGGACACAGCCTGGACCAGTCAGCCCCGTAGGCCAGGGAATTGTGCAGGACATAGGATGACAGGATGGCACATTCCTCTGTGTTCTCCGCTTTAAAAAAGAAAATAAAACCAGGAAATGAGCAGAAATCCAGTTGTGGTTTGTGGCTGCTCAGCAGCCACCCCAGCACTGGCTGTGTCCCATGGGAAGAGTTCTCTGATTATTGCCTTCTTCACCACAGGGTGAAGCGTTCCAGGAGGAAGGAGGTACTGACTCAGCCACCTCTCAAAGGCTTGGATTCTCCCTGGGCAGAAGAGGGTTTAACATGCATAAGCCTTAACAGCCTCATTATCCAAAATACCCTCAAAGGCTCAAGACAGACAGGAGTGATCACACCACAGTCTCCACTGAGCCAGGAACACACCTGGGAGATCTCCAAGCCAGGTCCTGGTTATTAATTCATTGCAGATATTCTTCCCATGAGCCATCAGCATTTCACTGACAGTAACTGGACATCAAGTTCCTGCCTTCCCTATACAAGAGAAATGTTACCCTCATTTCCTAAGCTGCCCCAAGGTCTGAAGAAACCCAAGAAGGCTGTAAGAACTGCATCTGTAATGTGAATGCAAACAGCTTTTTCATCAGGGAAATACCTCGCGATTCACACAAAGGGCTTATTCACGTTATTCTGGATTAACCAGGCTGCTTAGCACCTCCTCCCTGAGGCAATAACCAGTTCCCCAGCAGGGCAGTGACTCCTGCTGACAGGAAAGCACCACCCGACATTCAGAAGAACCTCTGTGAATCCTCACAACAAACACAAACTGGAATGGTTGTGTCAACAGGTAATCACAGAACCACTGAATAGTCTCAGTTGAAGGGACCCACAAGGACCATCAAGTCCAACTCTTAAGTGAATGGCCCACACAGGGGTCAAACCTTGGTGTTACTGGCACCATGCTCTGACCAACTGAGCTCATCTCACCAAAACCAACCCGTGAAAAGGAATTATGAGGGATTTACATATGAACAGTGACAGGGCCTTTGCACAACCCAGCAGGCCAGCAGTGAGGACAGAGCTGGGAAAGCTG